CTTGACGACACAAGCGATCTTCTTCCTTACAATAATTGTGGAAGACGCTTGGACACTAACAAACGGTGGACCATTCACGGATCTTCCAGTTCTGCTTCCGTGTGGGGGCCTGAAGAGGATTTTACCGACTCATGTGCAGCCTGTGAGCTTGACGAGCTAAGTTCCATATGCTTGTGGCAGAAGGCAATCCAGATGTTTGAAGTTTCATGCATTGAATTCAAACTGAAGCAGCTGGTTGCACTTCAGTGACCCACTCAGAGCTGGAATAGGCTTATTAGAGCTGGAATTAGGGCCCTTGTTAATTGGGAATCCCTTTTTGTCAATCTGTTCCAACCCTATTTGACCAGTGTTAGAATGCGAGGTGCACCGTGACAGTCGAACCAATGAGTCTAAGCAGCAACAACAACTGAAGAAAGTTAGGATACTGGCAAAGGGGGAGCCCAAAGGTGTAGCCAAGTGCAACGCAGTACGCAGCGACAACTAGACGGCAGCTCTGAATGCCACGAAACAATGAAGCAAATGTAAGTCAGACTGCCCGATACATTTTGGTCTGAATATCAATCTGCTTGCAGCACCTCAAAGCTGGTGATGAGAATCTACATTCTGACTTTATTTTCCCTCGCGCTGACTGTTGATTCTGCATGTCCACTCGGCCACTGTACACGAACTTACCCGACCAACAATGTGCGCAGGCACACCTTCATTATTGGCACAAAGAACACTGCTGAATCCTTTGTGCCCCTTGGTTTTCTTAGCCGCCTTCGACCTACTGTATATATCAGCTCCACTGACGCTTCTGTGAGAGGCATCACGGGACATCCATTGACGATTTTGGGCTCCTTTCACCTTCTTCTTAATTACTCCTAACTCGACGCCGGCAAATGCAAGTTTTCGGTCATTACTCATTTTCCTCCAATCATGAGTTTAAAGTGCCTGAAATTTTTGGACACTGTCGCTTGATTTTCGATCAAAACTCTGCATCGTCACTCCAAAGCATCTGGTGAAATAAGGGTTATAGCGGTGCCACTTGAGCTGAAAGGCCCACCAGTAATTGTGAAGAAGCTATACATCTTCTTCGGCTTACCCGAACCATTTAGCAATGAACTGTGGCACCCCTTACTCTGACTTCTCTCAAACGACTTTGTAATGGTTACTACATCAGCACTGACAATGTCCTGTTGCAATGAAGTTGTACCGCAGTAAAGCAGGAAGATATTCTGCATCAAATCCACAGTTCGTATTTCTTCCTTAAGCTTGACTGGAAGGATGGTTACGTGCAGATTCAGCTTGATGATCCTTTGTCATAACTTCCATTTCTGATCTGGATGTTTCAGACGCAAAGTTAGATTGAGTCGCCATTTGCCAAGACGATATTGGTGGCTACGCCTTCACCGTGCAACTTCATGGTGCACGGTAGCATGAATGGCCTTACGGATCCCACCGTTATAACACTTCACGCAACATATGGCAATGTGTTTCGGCTACTTCAGGTCTTTCGTTTCCTGGTTTTCAGCCATAAGCTCGGTCGTGGTAGTTCTTCCGCACTCCCTACGGCTTCAACTCCAAAGACTTTCACCAAGTTTCGCTCCTTGACAGGCGCTCTTTAGTACCATTCTCGTCCCATTGCAACCTTTACGGAAATAGCGAAACCTTTATTCTATCTTCAATTTCACGCCGCCTTCACATGGTCTGACACACCTAAAGTAGCCCAAACGTAGCGGTTCTAGAGTCATGCTCTGAGGACGTCTATGTTTGGTCTAGACTCGGTGTAAGTCGCATCATATCCAAGGATTGACCTCAGACCATCACGACAAATTGTTCACGAGAATATGACCACTCGCATGTATCAACTTCTAGACTTAGATGATTCCTTCCACCGAAGTCATATTAGTCAGACTGTAAACAATGAGTCCACTTCTAGTTCTAATTATATAACTAGTTCTGATATTATGAAATCTGATGACGATTTCATATCACTTGCCCGATTTCGTACATTATTCTTGTTTTATCGTATCACTTTCAGGAGTCGCTGGATAAACTTCGGTCTGGGTTATACTGTGGTCTTTACCTCTGACCTTAGTGTAGTCCTATTTCTCAAAGAGTAGTACAATCATACTCCACTTATTACGTTGAATTCTATTAGGAAAACAGCAGACTTGCTTTAAAGTTATTTTAAACGTTCTAAGATTACCTGGTGTCCCCAATCAGTAGTGGATATTTCCAAGAATAAAATTTGGTAAATGAACTTTTATTTCAAATTTTAAAATCGCGCACTCAGATCATCAGTGTTTGCACTAGCTGGTCGCATGTGGTTTCACCATCACTGGTGCGTCGCTTTAGCCTGAGATTCTGTAGTGTTTGCTCGCGGACATATTATCAGGTCAACACGGGAAGGCTAACTCCATAAATAAACACGCAAAAATTCCAATCACATGCGGATATTTTACAACTATATGACAACTTGACAATGAATCAAAAGCTTGATTTTCGGGATGTATCACAGCTGCATTGCAAGGAGAGGTTTTTGATCATTTGGGAATTAAAGCTTTGTATCGCACCCAAAATCGTTTACAATTGGTATTTGGTCAACTTCACTGACTCTTTAAGATTATACGTCCAAAGTCAGGCCGACTTATTCGTCCAGACAATAAGAAGAGGAAAAAAAAATGCAGCTCAGGGTGCAATTATGTATGTGGCCAGTTAAGCGTGAATAGCAATAGAACTAATTAAACATGAGAGGTTATAATTATAAATTGTGTGGTTAAGCGAATTGAATGGTAGCACATTATTTCTCTCCTTCCCGCGGAGGCAGTCACGAGGCTCGTCTCTTTACCGTAGTTAGGCACTCCGCTTGCCGGCCAAACAGCAGGCGGCGAAGACTGCACCGATCTCAACGATGGAAAGCACAATTGCTGTCACTCCTACCACGATTGCATGGCTTCGCAGGTATTCGTAGATAGCGTCCGCGCAACCCTAATTGAAATGCCGCATGTATGTGGGCTCAGGTCATGCAGAGTCGAACTTATAAGGCCTGGTTTGTTTATTATCAGCATCTATTCATTTACGTTATTCCACCCTGGTACCCATACAGATGTGTAACAGTGAAGCATGACTCCTTGTATTCAAAGGTCAAGTAAAGGACAAAAGCATGACAAATGTTTCAACTGATTGTTATTTTACTAATTCTTCAATAGGCTTAAGTAATACTTTAGCATTATGAATTAAAACATTAATGGTACTAACCGGACGTGCATTATCAGGGAACTTGGATAGGCTATGTAAAATCTTCTGAACAATATAAATACTTGCCCGCTTGAAGAATGACGAGAACTGGGATATGGGGTTGTCAGGTCTGGAGCAGTAATTGCCTGGGTTCTGCCAATCTGAGGGTCCATCTGCGCCACAACACTCAAACTACGAGAACTTTATTATTTAACTTTCACAAACCTTTTCTTGCAGATTTCTCATCATATCTTCCATGTCTGTATTGCCAGGAACTTCCGCCTCTCTGATGCATTGCCTCAAGAACTTGGCAATAAAGTCTTTACCCTGTTTAAATTATTAGTAGTGGAGGTATCGGTAGTAGCAAGTCGATATACAGACCATACCTTGTCGTGGTAAACGAGAATGAGAATTCCGCAGATGACTTCAATTATGATCAGAATGGTGATAATAATCGCGTACTATTTGGAGGCAAATTACTGAAATCCTGCTTTTACCGTTTTGAGACAGCATGAATTGAGTTTCCAAGCGCCACAGCACCCCAGAAAGCCGAGGATAAGTATTAACAGCACTAAAGTGAGGATAAAAGCAGGAACGATGAGAGCCCCTTGATCGCTCGTGTATTCCCTAACTTTGGCCAACGTGTACGCCGCAAATCCAGTGCATATACATCCAAATAACTATAAGGTGTAGGATTTGCAATGGGAAATACATACGAAGACGAAAAGATTGCACACAACGAGTAGAATTCGAAGGCACTGCTCTCCGCATGTCAGAACCATGGTCGCTCCGATCGTCCTAATGTGTGAATCCTGTGGGTCTATTCGATCCACTCGGGCTGCGTGATGAAAGGCAGGCGTGGGCGCGATTGACCAATGGGAGGACGACCTTGAGGCGGGCATGTGATGGCGAATACATCTGTGGCAGCGTTGGCTGTCGTAAGGGCAAGTGAATAGGTACGAAGGGCTGCCATTTTGCATGCTATTGGTTCGTGGCTTCCACCATTAATCGGCAGTGTCTGCGAGATGTTTCCTGTCATCGGCCGTCCCGTGACAAAATGAAGCAGTCCTCCCAGAAAAATAAATCATCTACAATGCTTTTTCAGAAGAAATTGGGAAATTTTATTTCTTCTCTAGGTCCATATACTTGTAACATTTCACAGAGTATTTGACAAGCCACTTTTTAAGGAATCAGTTTGTGAATCCATCATTTCTAATACACAAAGAGCTGCCACTTTATGGAAGATTGGGTATATTGTGAGGTTCACCATTTCTCCCATGAATCCTGTGAGCCATTGCTCCATCTTTAGTAGTTTTGTTTTGTACCCTCTTTTGGATTTTGTCCTTCTTCTAGTCAGAATTGGACATTTTCGTCAGATTAAGCGGACTTTGGAAATGCCCACATTCTTCTTTTGCATGTCCGAGTTTATCAGTGAGCTTGTGTGTTAACTCCAGATCTAAATGCTGTAATTGTATTGGGTTTTATTGGGAATTACTTTGCTTAGTGTTTGAAATTTCGTGTTAGTGTTTTTGAGGCAGGAATTCCTCTTTCTACACTGATCATTTGTTCACACAGATGATTAAAAGAGCGTCTGGCCATGCCTTACTAAAAACTTGCCTTTTCAATTCGTTTAGTATCAGTAATCGAATATGCCACGGTTTTCTTCCTCGGTTTCATCAAGCAACATCTGGTAAGTTTCAGGTCATTTCAATCAGAGATAATGGTAGTCGTTCATCGCCCGCTGTAAAAACGTCTTGCTCCCCTCAGTGCAATCATTTTTATGTGATGAGTGTCACCCACCTGTGTTACTGAGACGTTGGTTATACAGTGACAATCGAGAAAAGGAGTCGCTTCTAACAACAGGGCACGGTGAGGTTAATAAGCACCTCTTCATTCAGTGCGTCTTACTTCTGTTAAAAATAAGGCCGAAAGATGTCATTTTTCTGGAAGAAATTAACAAGAAAAGTCTGCAGTGATAAAGAGGCTTTTATTAAAGAATCAAATTGGATTCTTTCCAGTGTCGGATTTGATTAAAAAAAAAATGAAATATTTGACGGTTGCACGAAGAAATTGTAATAGCCTCAGTAAAATCCATTAACCCTTAGTTCAAGCGATTTATCCATAGATCTTTAGCAAAGAGATTTTAGTTAAGGGTGCTACTTTATTTTTTCCTCTAAAAAATGCTGGTAATTTTAATGCAGCAGGCAAGTGCTATTTCTATGCTAGACACAGATCTTTCCAAGTATACCACTAATAGAATGTTTTGTAAGTCACAAATTGACTAAAATTTGACACTAGTATATTGGCCAATAAAACGCCTAGGTAACTGTAAATAATACTAAAATATGGCGGAGTCGAAAATCGGAATGATTAAACGTTTTGTCTATTTACCCATTATAAGTAGTCGGCGAGAAGTCTGCATTAACTCTGCACTTTGACACACTTTCGATATTGCTTTTATCAAAAACTGAAGTTTCGTTTCACTTACAAGGGGTTTGCATTCATTGTGGGGCGGTGACAAAGGTGTAGCGCTCCAAAGCGCTGTGTATGCCGACTACACAGTTGCTCAGGGGATAGCTTATGATATCAAGACACACCAACAACTTCTGGTACATAGGGTTTTGCGCTGTATTTATATACATAAGTTAACGAAGTTTGAATTCAGATGCATTTAAAAAAAATTTAGTCAGCCATTTGACAATTTAGGTTTTTCCGAAAGTCAAAAGTAACACCTTATGACACTAAGGAGGTTATGAAAAAAGTGCAGCGCAAAACTTATGCTTTTGTTCGTGACAAGTTGACTTCCCACAGATAGTACTGCATTTTGATTGCACCATCACCAAACAGTGCCGCATGCCTACACATGCAGCGGCCACACACGTGGAGTGCCTTCAGAAAAACCGCCGCGAGTGCGCCCTATTCCCGTCGTCCATTCATCAAAAAATGACAGTCCTTCACCATGAGAAGGTGGTTGCGATATTATTGTTCCCTCAGCACGGAAAGGGATAGGTTTCTCAGTCACATTTATCATTGGCTGAAATCACATTTTAACTTCACAATGCCTCAACTTCACGTAGCTTGATTTCATGGCAGGTAATTTTAGCTATCTAGATTTGATTAGATTGGTTGTACTGAAAGTACAGCACATAAATATTTTGTTTCCCTATTGATGATATATTTTCTCTCGGAATCACTATACCTTATGGAGCGAGATAATATAAGGTAGACGAAATCATGCATTGTATGTGGAAACATCCACACGAAATGCAGATCTATTACAAAGTGTACAGATTTATGCTTATAACATTTGGGGTAATTTTATTGTTCCGAGACTTTCCAAATGTAAAACACATGCTTTGGAGGAAACGCATACACCTTTTCATGAACACATACTACTAATGTACAGGAGAGTAGAGGGGCTACTGGCATGACTTGAAGGTTAACCCACGGAGCGAAGTATAATCTGCAGCGTCTGAGGTCCCCGAGTTGTTCAACTCATGGTTTCACAAAATACCAATTCAATACTTAACTACTTCTAGATGTATGAATATTTGTCAGTTAATCTCCCACCGAAGAGTGAGACCACGTGTATGAGCACAATATGGTGTTTGTACTAGTTGGCCCATTGTTTTTAAACTAGTGTTCACATGCTTATTCGTGGCAGTTTGCAATTTTTGTTGGATACTTACATCCTTCGCAAACACTATATGTATATGCCTGTAATGTATACGCTTTCTTTTTAGAAAGTGGCAATTTTCCCCATCAATTACTGTATACCACATATTTTGGTGTGCTGGCATCGCAAAGCTTAGGCAACACGCATGACCTCACGGAGCAGCCAGCCACGAGCAAATAAACTATTATATTTACTGTTGCTGCTACTGCATTTGTCCTTATTGTAAGCATTTATTAGTTGTTAAATGAGAATGAGAAGTTGTCACTAAAATCACTGCAGTACGCTAGTTATTTGGTTAATTCTCGGTTTTGGTAACAGACCACTTGGGCACTTCGTGATTGTACTTCCGAGCCGTGTCAGTAGCCCCAAGCCTTCTTTACGCTGACAACGCATACTTTGTCTAGGTATTATGTCCCCTTTCTTCTTCAGGGAAGTATCGGGACGCTAAGGCACCGCCACTGCTAAATTGAAGGATCTCAAAACGTAAAGGTTGCCGGTAAATCTACCAACGATCAGGACTGGATCCTAGTAGCTGACAGTTAAAAATATATGATATTTTTATTTCTATAGCAAATAACCAACCCAGCCTACATTTCGAACACTTTAAGCAAATATACCCAGCCCAATGTAATCACATCGCCCCCTGAGTTGAACTAAAACAGGATTTGCAACATGGCAGATCATTCACTAAGAAGTACGATTTTAAGCATTTATTGCGGTGACTTAGGTGATCACTATTTTGGAGGTGTGCAGTGACCAGGAGAAGCGGAACCGTTTTAAATGGCAATGAGCGAATACAGCTTAAACATAGGCACGCAAACCATATGCTATGCAGACTATGTTTCGAGGTTTGTGTGAAACGAAACATACTATACACTCATGCTAACTCAGATCAGCAAATTGTCTAAGAGCCTCTTGTGGCTCTGAATGCTCCACTGCTGGATTCCGCTGAACTGCTTTATTTCAGGTCACTTGAAATTATCTTATACCGCTACGGAAGGGTTCAGTTGTTCTATCACGCATTTCGTTTTGGGTGCACATAAGTTGACCGCACTACATAACGATTTGTCCCGAACCATTCCCATATAACCGGCAATATATTAATGGGCATAACGATGCGTTGGAGAGACCGTTTAGACGCAGAAATGAAATATGCACAGGCCAGCAAAGAACACACAGCAACCGCACTTCTGCAAGAATCGAAGGCATCAGCTTTAACTAAGAAACAATACATGAAATTGGAGGTGGTGTCCACTGAACTGCAGTACAAAGAGTGCACACACCCACCCACCAATTGCCACTCATGAAAGAAAAGGCCCACAAGCGTCGATTAACCTTGAGGTCCAAATAAAGGAAGGCTGGGCTCGCGGATTGCATGCGATCAAAACAACCCTCACATTACCCTTTACTAACCTGCAAAACTCTCAGTCAACACCTTCTCGTAGTTTGGTCCCATTTCATTTGCGCTTTACCATTATGGGGGCGTCTTCACTTTAATGATTCTATAAAGTATTCCTGGCGTAACTGACCAGCTAGCTACGTTGAACTGTACGTACGGGACTCACGAAAAAGTAGTGCTCAAACGATTACCAAAACCAAATAGGTTACACTGGTCATTGTACTTCATCAAAGAATGTTTTAAATAAACTCCTCAGAATTCCACAGTTCCGACGACTAGTAACTTTCGCAAGTGATCGGAGGACTCCGTGAAGGAATACCCCTCCTAAAACCCCGACGTTGCAAGCGATGTGCAGGAATTGCAAAAGCTAGGAGCTCCTTACTAGATCACAACCAGCACTACCAGTGTCGAGGGAATGTAAGCTAATCTTGTGCATTGCAGACCTCCCTATATGACCATTCCTTCAGAAAGGATAACCGATCTGCGTCAACACTATCTTACCCACTGTCTAGCGAAATCCGCCATACAAACAAATTCCCAAGCAAAACCCCATAGACTCCGAACCAGTTCAATGTGGCACTCCAACTTCCATTTTAAGCCAACCAGAACTAAAAAATCGTCGGATTGTTCATTTTTGCGAAAACTAGTTCAAGACTGCTCTGGGAGATAAGGGACACCACTATGACTGCTCGAATACTGTGTATGACAAAGATACAGCAAACGCTTTTAATGGTAACGTGGTACAATCCGACAATTTACATCCCGGAACAAAAAAACCCTCTAACTAAATCACACCTCTTTCTATATAAATTTGAAACGACTTGATACTCCATATAGGCATTTGTAATTGCCTTCTTTGCTTTGCCCGAGATAATATGCCCCTTGTGCTAAGTCCGAAGAGGAATCCAAATGACTTCCAGCAGCGATAGGCTTCAATTTCCGAGCGTACAAAGGCAATATACAGAAAAAAATGCGATTTTAGACAGGTGAAAGGGAGTGATTTAAACGCCTGATCATTGCAACCACAAGCCGCTCCAGTTTTGAGTTTTTCAAACATTTCACAGTCTAAAGTTAAAAAATAGGCCAATTACCAAAAGATGCAAGCATATAGACTTCCAGCACGAACCCTTATTCCACCATATACGGATACGAAACTATTGTAGAGTGGCGAAATAGAATAGTGACAACTGCATGAGTACTCGCTTACAACCATATTGCCACATAATTCCTTTTAAATGTAAATTTGGTTTCTTTTGCACATTAACAGAGTGTAGAGAAAAACAAACGCTGTTGATTTTAAAGAAATTGCAACGGTCTTGTCAAGATTCAGTCGGATTCCTAACTATGATGCCTAGAGAGAATGCTACCTTAGCAAAAAGAAAGAATGAATGAAAAGCAACATGAAATGTCAAAAGGTTGATTTTTCGTAAAGGATCAGTATCACTTTAGCAATATATGAAATAAAAAACCTATTAAAAGATCATTTACTAAATTATTGCCACATTCTAAGAAGTCCGAGTCTATAGCAGAGGACGTAAGTGATAGGCCACCTGTTCCCTACAGCTTTCAATCTTGTGGATCACATGCTAAACGAAAACAAAATAGAAAGGCCAACTGATAAGGGTCAACACGTATGTAACCGCTAAGAATAGGAATGATCGATGTAGGTCTCTAACAGACTAGCAAAAAAGCCTCTCACCAGGCCCTTTAGGTCGATCTCCACTACGTTCTCATCGACATCCACTCGAAGGCGATCCGCTTTGGGGTCGACCACACCACCGCTGGCCTTCAGGCAATCGGGCCCAAAAGCGTCCTGCAGCATCACCCCCAATGCGCCGCAGAATTGATTAAAATCGGGCTCCCGGAGGGTAGATAGAGTGCCTAGAAAGAAGTTGTGCAAATCGTGTCAATATCCAGTCCCACAGATTGGTACACAACTTCTACCATCCGCGCTTATTAGTATCAGCCAATGGCTTAGAGATTATTGTGATCTGCCTATCAGTGACCAAGTTGAATGGTGATTGAAAGGCTGATTCCACCTTTTAGAGAGCTAAACTGGCCATCTTAGGCTTGATTTATCAGCCAGCTAGGCATTACACGATTTGATAGCTGTAAAAGCATTGTAATGCCAGTTAGTTAGTGTGCATAAGGTCACTAAGACAAAAGATATCCAGATTATCAAATGATCGCATCGGTTTAATATGGCTATGGATGGAAGTACCTCCTTAGGGACAAATAACTTGTGAAATCATCAAGCATTGCCAAGTAAATAATTGTTTCGCATTTGAGGACGAAAACCACCACAGATTGGCTGAATCTATAAACAGATACCTACACGGTGTGATGCACTCGAATTTAAATAACCTAATATGCCATACGAAAATCACCAACCTGAAGAGATCGGTGAAGCTCGCAACACGGCGCTCTGGATGGCATCAGCATACATATCATTCACTGGATTTGCCACCCACTAGGCGAAAAAGGGAACTTTAGCAGCTATTCCGGCTCTAAATTGCGGGTACAAAGGACACGATACTCACCTTAATGCGGACAACATTAGATTGCCATGTTACAGTAACTTCGTCAAAAACAATAAATGTAACAGATTCCTCCGAGTGTTCGATAACCTTCACTTTTCCAGCAATCATAGTAAGGTGGAATTGCAAAAGACTCGCAGATCCGGAGAACGGGATAGCTATGACCTGCGTCACGACGGTGGTGGCAAGCTCGGTATAAACTAAAAAAACAGCAGCTGCTACTTGCTGTATGTAGGTAGGTGTACTCATTTATATGCAAAAGCTCACCACATACCAGGAAGTTCAGTCGGAGTTATAATGTGGTAGGCGAAATTTTTTTTGACCAACACCCCAGATAAACTTTCGCGTCCCGAATCTCCCGCCTTCATGCCCTCAAATGAGCCGCTCCCTCTGGTCTTTGCCAGACTACCAAGCACTTTAGCAACCTTTTCGCCCTTGAACCGTAGGTTGACCGACTCGCAATTTTTTGGGGTGAAGATTTCCAGATGACAGTTCTCATCATCCTCGTATTCACGTTGTAGAGCTCCCGCCAATCGCATCATTTCATTTTGTTCACCGTGCACCAGAACCTTAAATTAAGCGAATTCCCATTTACTGGGAGAGTAGTGTCGTTCTCAGATATGTGTTTTAAGAACTAACAACACAAGGGGCATGGAGATAGTATGCAGATAACTAGCCAATCTCCTCAACCGAAATAAGTCGACAACCTTCAGCTTCATCACACAAAAGGTGTTTACGTAGTTTATTCCGTCTAATTTCCTCATGAATGGTAGTGAAGATAAACGAAATAATTCAAGTCTTTAGATAGGCTGTTCCTCCTAAAAAGCACCCGAATGCTTTTTCGCGGAAAAAGGGTTGCACTCACAACATAGTTGGGCTTGAGTTCGCGGATAAACTCGCTGGTCTGCTGGTAGTCGGTGTGAGCGGAGAAGCTAATGTACTCGACGGAGCACTTGAGCGGCAGCATTTGGCCAGACATGGTAGGCACCTCGGCAGGCTGAGAGAGGATTTGCTTAGCTGGAGTGCCCTCTACGCAGTATCCTGCAATTATAACACCGTTCCTCTTGTCGGTGCACCAATTTTCGAAGAGCTCCCGGCTCAAGCCTGACTGCATCATCCCAGGACTCGCCAGGACCACACAGGGACCCGAGTCGTCCAAGTGGTTCCTACTCTGCCAATAAATTACCATTATAATTTGAAGTACAGATGTCCCAGTTCGTAAAGTTATTTGTAGTTCTATTCTATTGCAAACAATGAAATAGCACGTTCGAAAGAGGTCACGGAAATGTTCAATGGAAACTTTATCCACATCTCGGGTGGATAAAATAGATACAATTGAAGAGATCGGTAAGTAAATAAGCAGCGTACACCTTCAATGCGATGCACTAAACTCTGGCGCTTGTTCAATCAAACTAACATAAATAATTTCATAGTAGTAATAATAGCAATGGGTAGATAATTGAAAACAGGTAGTAAATAAAAGCCACATAAATTCGTCAAAAGATGAATCCTGTCTCACCCACAATAGCATTGAAATGTTTTAGAAGCGGATAAGAATGGTAAATAGTATGGTAGAAGTATATACAAGTAAGCGACTACCATACATAAGATATATTGATGGTCCCTGAATTCGGAAAAGCAAGAGCACGATCATTAAAAAGAGAGAAGTTGTAAACACTAGTTGCATCAAGTCTAAACATTGATTGCGTCGCAAAAAGTATTACAGAGTAGACAACACGCACTAATTAATAGCGAATAATCTACGATCGTCCAAACCACAGGCCTCAAGCGAACATGAAAACATTTAAACTTGGAACAAGGTATCAAGAATGCCCTGCTATCAAACCACTTAGTAAAAATAAATGACTACTTATCTAAGGGCCTAAAAGCTCACCTGTAAGTTTGAAATGAATCGGAAGCAGAAAGGATTATTATTTGCCACTTGATTACGGATGCGATCATTCATGGCAGCGATAAAGGTCTGGTAAACTGCCATACACTTGCAGGCGAGCTGACTAGCATAGTAAATGGGGACGTCCTGGAGTTCGGGGTGGGCGGCCCAGTATTCGTCCAGGATGAGCATCAACTCCTGCGCGCGACCGAGGGCAAAGGCAGGTATGAGACAGCGACCACCGCGGGAGATAATATCATGGACTAAACTAGTGAAACGCTTCTCGCGTTCCTCCCGCTTATCATGAATGTGAATTCCATAGGTCGATTCAGTGATCAGAATGTCTGGATGGTGAGGAGGCACTTCAGCACACATCAAATGTCGATCCTCTTGGCGACTAAAGTCACCTGTGTACAAAATCTAAAAAAATGTCATTTCGTCAAGGGTAGAACCTTAACACCAGCAATCTCAATAAGAAACATAGCAGCGCCGAGAACATGGCCAGCGTGATATGCCGAAAATTTGATGCCGTTTACTTCCAGCTCCTGATGAAAGTCAATAGGGTCAATTTTCTCGAGACTCTGAACAATATCTCCATCCGTGTACAACGACTGTTCTAAAATGCCAGAATTGCTAAACAAACCTGAGAAGAAAAGTGCGTCATACCTGACTTTAACAAAGTCAGCAAGCAAGTAGCGATAAATAGCTCTCGTGGCATGTGTCATATAACACTTTGCACGCACATTTGTCTTCAATAAAAGAAATGGCAGTGCCCCACAGTGATCTAGATGGTAGCTAAAGGGAACTAACAACTCTATCGACTCTACTGGCTTATTAGAATGAGGTCTGTGGTTTCAATCTCTGGAATGGCATCGATGAATGGAAGGCTTTCTTTGTTATGCAATCCAGGATGGACCCCACAGTCAAGCTAAGCATATGTGAGAGAACATAGTCGTACTATTATTTTCTTTCCCTTGAAGGTAAGCAAAATGCACGAGCGGCCAACCTCCTGTCCCGCCCCTCTAAATACATAAGTGTAAGGGTTTATAAGGTGAAGCCTACAATGGCATTATTGAAAGCTTGTCATTATCATCAAAATCGACTTCACAGTCCCCGACTGAGAGTACCTCCATGGCATGCACACCAGCTTAAATGTACTCACGCAGTTCAAAGAGTTGATTGGCATGTATTTAAATAATCAATCATAATCGAGACAACTTTGTACCTTTTAGAAGTTTACAAGATGCTCCCACTAATAAATTTTGTGGATAAAATGGTGCTCTTCTAGAAAATTTATTGCATTTGTAGTTTTTGGTTGAGGTTACAGTTTTTATTCCTACACCAATATTTGCTAGTAACTAATCGTCCTTATGTAATTCAGCAACAAATCCGCTTGTGGTTTCGGTTTTTATTTGCGCGAATATTGGGTGCGTGAAGGTGTGGAATTAATCCCTGCCACTTTCTAAGTCTGAGTGCCCTATTTTTCCCGTTCTTGACGGTAGGTGTTTTGTGCCTCAATTTTGGTCCAAATCTTCCTCGTGATTTTTGTGCGTCCTTGACTACCTTTTTTTCCTATGTACAGTTGGAGAGCCGCAGCAGATAGACCAGTCATTTCGATGGCACCACTTTATAGAATCTAAGCCCACGGGTAGGAGTATTGAGTGATAAGGAAAGAAATACTGGATTGGCTTTTAAGTTAACTGTCGGACAAATTAGATTGCTGTCTTCCGTAGGATGTATTTAGATCTCTAGTGGAATGGCTCTATCTTCAACTCCTCAAACACCCCTTCATCTGGAGTTATTCCAGGTAATCTCGAGCCAGCTCTTCAAAGTTCCAAACAATTACACAATGGATTTCTGGGGTATAGCCAAGAAAAGTGCTCAGCTTACATTAAAATCAAATTCGAAATATAGTTCAGTATCTTGACTGGAGCAAGCATCACAATGATCGATTCAACGTTGCCTTTGACGGTATGGCGCGAGGCAAGTACTGCTTGCTGTCAGTCTGCACGCCCTCGTAGCTGTGAAAAACAGGTGGATAGATTGAGCCCGATCCACAGATGGCTTAAAAGTGGATTTACCTAGCTAACGCGGTCGACATGCTACCATCACTTTACCTTCCCCCCTAACGAAAGTTATCCTCGTGTAACTTTGTTGCTTATTTGCATCAGAGGTTTAAGGGCCTAGCTCTTTTTTTCCAGTTTGTGTGCAACCATATTGAATAGGCACTCTAGTATCAATGAGTCAGTTTCGGGGAGACAGAAACCCAGCAACCTTGGTTATCTCTTGGAGAGCGGAGAAATTAGGGCAAGTGTAAGCCTCCGCTGGCGATCGCCCACATGTCAACCCATCCGAAGTTGCCATTGCTTCTTTCAGCCACTGACTAAGCCACGTGACTCACCGACGCAAAATAAGAATTTCGCACCAAGACGCCCGTCTTGATTGTGCACCGTCCAAACATTCACAAAGCAGAGAACCTTTATTTCAACAGCTGGATTTGCATTCAATTTTCAGGTACACTGATAATAATAAAGCACCGAAAGGTGAATAAAAGCAATGCTGTGTAAGAAAAGAAGTGATCACAAGCTCGATAGGAGAGTAGACTAAGTACATGAAAGACTTCATCGTCTGGGCACCAGGTGGCAGTCGCGGTACGGAGGGGTTGCAAGTGGTGCATGAGTGGGTGGACAGCGGAGGGTAGCAGTCCTCAATTCGATGAACTGCGAGGGAGAAGGAGGGAGTGGCATCAGGGCAAAACGAGGGGACGCGAGCGCCGCTGCACATCATAGGCGTCCAGCGAGGTCGCACGGCGCAGCCTGTATCGATCAGTGGTGTCCAGACCAAGGTTAAAGTTCAAAATGCTCTGAGAACAGGCCTAAAAAGGTGCCAATACAACGGTTTCGTTTAATATGCACCTATCTGGGCTACACCACGATATTGAAAGGTCGAAAATGCACACCGAGAATTTGGTCCAAAATAAAATCTAAAAGCAAACAGCTTTCAAGAGCGCAATCTCAACTGGCCCACTCCGAAGTGCACCCATAAAACAATTAACAGTGTCACCAAAGCCTGAGTATTTCCAACTAGTGAAGACTCCTTACGTCATTAAGCAGCTTACTGGTTTTCAGAGCCAAGGGGATCTTATCGCTGTGTGTATGAAACTAAATTGCTCTTCTCGAAACCTTGTGAGCATTTGTCGCACGAACAAGAGAAAGATTCAAATACAAACCTTCGCTAGTAATATCTTTTTCATTATTTTCTAAATTTCAGTTGGTCCTTTAGCAGGAGCATGAATATCACCCCCAACAATGCGATTTCATCGAAAATTTTTAAAAATAAAATGCGATTGTGTGGCCAAATGATGTTTTGAAAACAACATTTCCCAAATTTTCGAGTAAAATGTGATTGTGGCTGCTTTCTGTGAATTTCCTAACAATAAAAGGTATTGAATGTTCTACTGTCCAAACCACAAAACGCAGATAAGGCGGAAACAAGTGATGGAAACCCAAGGTATAGGCTCACCTCGAGATCCCTGGCTGTCTCGACAGAGAGACGGGTAAATTCGTGGGTGGAGACTGTGAGATCCCTAATATCGAAGTAGTACTTGGTGTACACTGAACTGGGGATGTTTATATTGAACTGGATTATCTCAAGGAACTGCCGCTCCAATTCATTCCTAAAACGCAGTACAGTACCAATAAAACCAAAGAGAAAAGGGCTAATGGCAATTGGGTGCAAGAGCAGCGATATCTGAGAGTGAAGCATACGCCTCATTAATTTGCAATTATGGATACAAGATACACCAGCATTAAAGCAGTTAGCATACAAACCAGCGATGTAGGGGAGTCAACTTAGATTGTGACAGCGATATTCACCCAATGACCTGTACGAAGGCGAAACAACTCACACATCGTCCACTTTGAGTTCATCGAGGATTTGGCAGTAGTCGACATTCCACACAGCCTGGTCATCCCACACTTTGCTGGCGAGGAGAATGGCACACAGGAGGATACGCTTCCAGTTTGCCACGCCTAGGTATAGAGGACCACCATGGAGTAGTCTCTCCAGATAAACCTACGCAAAAAGCAATGCAATTTTTAATAGTGCAACGTACTGCAGTACAAATAAATGGAACTATGCTTTGTCTGCTGTGTTTGCAAAGCTTCCCCAAGGTACACCATATTATTCGATTGCCGTAGAAATGAACCAAAACTATTGCAACAGAGCGGTCTCAGCATCTTTTAAATAGACACACCACAATTATCCCACACACACACACAAACATAAGGGGTGGATGGACTACAAGTATAAGGTCAAATCAAATAATCTGGCTGAAAACATCAAAGTAACCTAGTAACGAAATTGCCGACCTCAAAAGACGAGCTTAGATTGCAAACATTAATAAACCGGTCAACAAAATACAAACATTTCATATCGAATAAGATATCAAGGAAAAACTGGTCCTCTCGAGGAGGAATTTCCTTTGTAAATCGAATAGAGAGAGGGTCTGAAAGCACAGATGTGTGTGTTTAGATGTGAAGTGGGGAAAAGGAGTGTGGTGATGCAAACGACTAACGCAACTCGATACATTTCGACGGCTCACTTGCGGCACTGGAGGAGTGAAGAACGAGGTCTGCCTGTACACATATCTGCCCTCTACACAGAAGGAAGCAAACCAATCAGCATTTAGTATTCGCTACAAATAAGTGTCCAATTTTTTTGCATTGCGAGTTGATGGTGTGCACAGAAAATACCAAGACCATATACCGCCAGTTGTAACAGATAGGAGCTATGCCGACTAGAAGGCGTGGTCACTGTAACTAACACTGTGAAAGGGCATTTGATCCGCAAAACTAATATACATACCCCTGTGGAACTAGCTAATGCATTTACACCCGACTGATGCATCTAAATTGCTAAAAATAGAGCCCATTAAAAGTCCCACCCTCACTACACTCAATTTTGATGGTGACGCTGTAACAATTTTCAAGATCCCGTTCAGCGTTTTTTTCAAGATAAGGCTAGAATTTAGGTTACAGAAATACGGATGGAAGGTGATTAGGCAAATGTTCCAGTGAATTTTACTTTGATTTCCTAAAGGTTGCGAAATCCGATAGATTTTCAGTCTCACACAACAAGAAATTTGGGCAGTTCAAGAATGCCCGACAGCGCAGAACGGAGAGCAGTCATATCAAATGTTGGATGATGACACTTAGACTACTAAAACCAGGAGTTTGGACTTCACATCCTTCGCATTGATCGCAATACGAATAGTTAGTTCAAATTAGAATTTGCAAAAAAATATGGCAATCTTGCAAAAGCATACAAGGCTACAGGGGTGACGCCAATGATAAGCAGTCTCAGGTGAGTGAGAGAACGGAACCGCTTAATCAGGAGACTTTGTGCCAACACGTTTTGGTGATGTAGCACTCACAGTCAAGATTGTGTGCATATTTCGGGCTAAAGCCTTCACGCTGATTAGTCACCCGAAGCGAAGCAAAAGGCAAAGGAGGCGGCGCGTTTTGTTGCGCGCTCCACTTGAAGCTCCACCGGGCTTACCTTAACAACCGTCGTCATCAGACGAAAAGGTAGTACATAAAATTCTAACAAGGTGCCAGACTAGGTATGCCTCTGCCTCAATCACAAGGTATTCTGATCTACCAGATCGGTGACAGACAATAAAACCTCAACAGAAAGCATGATTGGAGGCAAAAATAGACCACAATCAAAGGCGATCCAATCCAAAGCGATAAAAAATCAAATTTTTATTTTGTATGTTAATTACCCAAAAATGAACAGAAAATTAGAGTTGTGAATCCTGAAATTCCCAATGAGATGCACAATAAATCCAGCATAAATTTCAATGAGAAATGAAAAGTTTCTAAAGGTAACCAGCCTCTTTCCAAGAAAAACCTTTCACTTTGCCTATAGTCACAGAAATTGATTTAATATAACTTACTAGGTAGGTGAAGGATCAAAAATGACAACACCATGGACAAAACTAGTTATGCTTCTTTCTCCCATATTTGGCGGTTGAAAGACATATGAAACACGGAAGACGTAAATGCACGCATCAAATTAGTGACAGCACCTGTGATAAGATTCCTTGAGTTAACGATGAGCACCTGTTCGACAAGACCTAAGGGATAGAACTCTACGTTGCTAAAACGTAGATCCTCCATTTCGTCATTACAATTGAGTAAGGTTTTGCTTCCAATGATCAAGAATTCAGTAAGTACTTAGTAGGAATTCTTTTTGTCCATAAAAATAAAATGATAGTAGGATTTTTTACCCAGTCCATTCAATCCGTATATCAAATCACATTCATTAAAACCAGACGCAATTTGGCGAATGGTGGATCAGGAACTGAAAAGAATTAAACTTTCAAAACCACTAGACGGACGAAAAGGATATAAACGGGTTCGCGAACATTTCGTTGGAAAAAATTTCAAAATATTAGTGAATACAAATAAAGTGGCTGATTGCTAAATAAAAGACACTTACCATAGTAACAATGGCGCACTCGGGAGACAACTGAGCATTTTGGAAGATCTTTCTGATGAACCGATGGACAGTCTTGAGGCTGGGAGGACGATTAGGATCCTCGTCAGGCGATTGTTCAATCTAAGTTGAAAGAGAAGGAAAGAGGGAAGGGGAGTGGAGAAAAAAAGGTATTAGTTTATGCATGAGATATATTTTAGCGGGGGAAAAAGGAATTCGATGTCATCTCAAAGAGACAAATTGATTGCAACTTTCTTCTATCCGTTCAGCATATAGTTTGAATTTCAGACCAGAATGAAAAACAGATTGCATCCTAAAAGTAAAGTCGCACAAACAATATTTCATGAGAGAATAGCAAGCACGATCAACTGGGGCATGGACAGTCGATTTCACTAGATGCTCGTAGACAATTTAAAAGCCCTGATGTACTTACGCTTACCATCTTAATATGAATGGACCAGGAAGGAATAATTTGCATATGCAAAAATATCAAGCCAAGGATGTACCAGAGTTAATCATAACACAGAATGTGTCCTATGTTCAATGATGCACTCAATCACTACTTCACGAGGGTTAGCAAAAGCTTCGTTGCTTTCACTAAAATCACCAAATAGGAGCCTTTTATGAAATATTAGCGAAAGTGGAGAGAAGAAATAAAATAGTGAGAGAAGAGGGATTAAATGAGTCCCCATCTCTTTCACACATATACACAACGAAAAATCTACAAATAGTCCTCGGATGTGAGAAATCTCACAGGAGTAATAACCATCAAGCAACCGAAAGCAGTTTACTGAAACCATCTCTCTTTCGTTCGGGAGTAGCCCGTGCAGAACCTGAGCTGTGAACCAATCTCGCTCGGGCCAAAGCCACCACTTGTACAAGGACGGTACAAGGAGTGTCCATCAATCCGACAGGCATCATCATAACTTGACAGAACCAAGACCGCAATCCAATAAGCCGTAAAAAGCCTGAGCGACTGTGAGAATACGTAAGAAATAAGGTAAGGCAACACAACCAAAAGTCATGCCACCTTGCATTCATAAAGAAATGAACGCCAATGAACTACTTCGAGTACGCAAACATATTTCGGAAAATGAATGCATGGGCATAGGCTACAGATGAATTCTAGACCCCCTAGGACATAAAGTCGATAACCACTACCGATGATGGAAACAGAGACGCTGATCGGAACTAAAGGAGGGCGAAATGGATACCACATACCTGAAAGCACATTATGAGCTTCCCCTAGTGTGGATTAACAAAAACAATTGATCGTTAGTTTATAGTAAGAAACAGCTGCTGTTACAGCGTATGCATTACTGATGTGCCCATAGAAAGTAGGAACCTGATTATAAACTACACCGTGTCCCTCCGTTGTAAATATCTGCATTCTGTAGGAAAAGACTTTGAATGCCCAAAAATGAAGCTGAAGGTGATTAGGTATCACCCGTTAAGGACCGAATGAAGTCCTCGGCGAAAAACTTGAACCTTGACCCCTCCGGGACAATCCGACATAGTTTAGCCAACAGAGCGGGAAGAGGGAATGGCCTACCTTCATAGGATGAAGAGTCTCATCGAAAATATCAAGATCCGCTTTGGCCACACCCGTGGTGCTGCCAGAACGAATTAGTAGACAGATGGCAATCGCGACGGCTCTAATGGTCGCACGAGAGTCCGGTTTGGATACCGTAGAGCAGTCCAAGTACATCTCCGTTGTTGTATTCGGTCTCCGACTTTCTAAACGCTTCATTCTCTTTAAAAGCTGGTGGTAGGAGGTCATTGAGGATTTACTTAGTATTAAATTGGCAAATATATTTCAACGAGAATCAGTGTATCACCGGATGGTGCTTGGGAATAACTATTAACCTTAGCCATTCGACACATATATTTTGAAATCAAATCACGAAGTAGTGAGATTTGAAGTCGCTAATACGGACGGTAAAAAATCACTGGAAGACCAAGCTCAGGGCAACCACTAGAACGTAAGGCGACTAGAAGATATCTATGCAGGAATGTGCCTTATGCAAAAGTTACTGCCTCGAAGCATTTTTAAAAAGCCATGGAAGAATAGTCTAAAATTAAAAGGGCAGCGTATTAACAATTTAATTATCGGCTTGTTTACTTACTTCAAGGTACCAAGACTGTCGACCTACAGAAAAACAGCAGACTGGATAAAGGTGAAGTACTTCGGGAAACAACCGAATTAGTTAAAACTAACACTAAGTACGAGTAGACTAAGCCAAATCCAGATAACTCACGATTTTTCCCCTTGATGAAAATAATTTCCCTTCTTACATTTATTGAGGGGTCCGAATCTTCATCTAAAGTTTAACGAAAGACATCAAGACTAGCTCAATCACCGAGGCATAACCTAAACTAAGCTGCTGATGTGCGGCACTATGTCGTGACTGCCCGAAATACGAATACATAAAAAAGGGTAAGTACAGCCTTCCAACGGATAAAAAGCACCAAAATAATAAAAACAAACCCTAACAGCTTCCGTACTTTCTGGCTCTCGTTCAGAAATATGCTGAATTTCTTTCACTTGACCGATAATGCAATCCCGATCCCTGGGGTGATGATTTGTTGAGATGGGGATAGTATGTGACGGCTGGGCACAAGACACATATTTCATCGAACAATCATCCAAGGTAAAGTATAATGAGGAAAAGGAAGTGTGCTCTGGAGGAGCGAGAGGGTGAGACTTTGAATAAGAAGGAAAACTAACAGGTGCTTCAGATAACGCCTCCTCGGCATTCAGTGGATGCGTTAGATGACCCAGCTTTCGGCCACCGCGGAGACAGGAGAGACAGCTTCCCATGTCCACTAAAAACAACATAAATCCCATTATTGCAGAGCTTGAGGGCAAACCGCGAAAGATAATCAAAGGACCTTAATGGTTAAGTAGTTTCTGCTGGAAGGCATATATTTGCAGCTAAGAATAAGAGCACAGACAATAAAGCAAATTCAGCAGGGGAACATAATTACAGGTGATTGATATTAGTCGGTAAAATTCTAACCAACAAACAGAGTGAAAACAAAACAGCATCAGACCGCAAGGCCAAACACCCACCCACCATAGGCATGATGAACAACCCACGATACAATAAACAAACTCAAACACAAAATAAAATTAAATAAAAAGGCCGATTAAATCGTAGCAGACAAGTGCTCAACAAAAGATTAAAGTGTACCTTGCCTTTACATGCAACAAACTGATAAAAAAGTCATAAGCAAAACACTAGAAAAATTATGTGCTAAGCAAGGGTCATTTCTAGATTTTACAAGCTTAACCTAACTTTTTACGATCGATGGAAGCTAATAAAAACTGTCAAGTATTGTGTGGTTAAGGGACATGGTACAAGTTGAGCGATCTAAACGCAACTGCATGCCCGCAATAAATTAACGCAAATTCAAAGGCAACTTTTCTATTAAAGACATTCTTATAACAAACGTTTTCTTTTAATTACCTAATTTAGAAAATGACTACTCAAAATCTTACTGCTGTCTGTCCATCGTGAGCGCGTTTATCGGTGTCGTTTATCGCAGCATCATTTATCGATGGTTCCCCCTGCCTAACTTTAGCATAGCTGTCATTGCGTTTGGTTCATTTTGAGTATAAGATTCTTGGCATTCGACTAATTTCATGTATTAGTTGGGAACTAGGATTCCATGCCAAGATAGCTTCTCTTTTCCCTGTTTATGCCTGACTTCAAACGACCGTAGATTTTGTATAATATTTCAGTATATTCGAGACATAGATTGCGGGCCGCTGTTAGGTCTCTGTTTTTCGTATTTTGTAAATAATGTGGTTTTTCAGCCGAGAATATCTACTTTTGGGAATTCACAATTGCTTTACTAGTAATTCTTGCCCAATGTTCCATCTTTGGCATTGTTTTCTCTACTACTTCTTAAGGTTAATCCCTCGGGACTTACTTGTGTGTTAATGTTAGGATTTACTGAGATGTGTGCGTTTTGATAACGAACTTGTTTCAATCCTGGAGATATTTGGTATTACTTTGTTCTTAACCGTCAAATGACGTATTTTAAATAGCTATGTCTTTTGTGTCAGTGTTGCACTTTTCATTAATCTTAATATTTTTTTCCCTTTTTTGACCATCAAGTTCTCTAGAATTTGATATGGCTAGCTTAAGGCCTTTACTACCATTGAATCAAACAGCCTATGGAAGGATTCCATCTGACGATAAGTACCAACCGTCTGACCTCTTGGGTGCTGGAGCATATGGTCGTGTGTTCAAGGGGACTTCACCTGATGGTCAGGTTGTAGCTCTCAAGGAAATATTAATTCCCGCAGACGACCAAGGCATACCTCTAAGCACACTCCGAGAATTGGCTGTCCTTAAAAAGGTGCAAGCAGCCAAATCGCCTTATCTTGTACAGTGAGTTTGGTTTTTTTAGTCATCTCGATTTAGGATGTTGGACATATCGTTACGCCGGAGTGGACCTGATTTGTCCGTGTACATCGTTTTCGAGTTCATCGATTTTGATCTGGCTCAGTTCCTCTCTAACGTCCCACAAGAGACAGGTCTTCCGATCACCACCATTAGAGTAATTACTGTGTTTTTTTAAAAACCTTTTTTAAGGAAATGTCTGCTCAATTACTTAAGGGTATTGACTTCTTGCACTCACATCGAATAATCCACCGAGATATAAAGCCAGCTAATATCCTTATTGATAAGGATGGGAAGCATTTGAAAATTACGGACTTTGGCTTGTCCCGAGTGCTTGGATGGGAATCACCTTTGACACCTGTTGTCGTGACTCTGTGGTATCGATCGCCTGAGATCCTTCTTCTTTCGGAATACCTTTCACCTTGTGACGTTTGGGCTGCCGGTTGTATAATTGTCGAACTATTCAATTTGGCGCCCATATTCAGTGGAAAAACGGATACCGTGGTTCTGCAAAAAATTTTCAAGTAAGGCGACAGATTCATCGGTATAATTGGTCTTCAGTACTTTGGGATTTCCTCCAGAATCTGAGTGGCCTAAAAATTCATTTTTAAAGTGGATTAATTTCAAGAAAGTAGGCGAGCATAGTATTTTGCGGTCCAAGGTTAAAACGAATGACTCTGCTGCCCTTGAGCTAATTGAGGTAAACAATTGTACTCAAGTACTACCTCCATTTAATGTGAATGGCTCTTCTATCGCTTGGTCTGATTTTACCTCACAGAAGCTGCTGACATTCAATTCAAATAAGAGGATTACAGCCTGTGGAGCACTGAAACTGCCATTCTTTACAATCGGTTCAAATACGGCATTAGCGGACTTTCGAACTTCAACCTCTGCAGAGACGCAAAGCTCATCAAGCTCTGTTACAGCTGCTGTTATAACACATTCTGCTCAGAGTCGAAGCAGTCTGCGAATAGCCAGTAAAAACGCGATGGCTCGCCCCTTTATACCCAGTCGGCATTCTCTCATGCCTGCTCTTTGTCGACCCTCCTCTGGCCCGAGAGGTGGAAGAAGCCAAAACGGTGTAAGCCCCGTCGGACCTATGACACGACAACGCGCCGCTGCTTTGGTAGGTGATGCATCTCCGATACCCTCTGCTTCGACGCGAAACGGTGGACGCCGGCATACGCAACCCACGCGATCTCGCACTTCGCTTGTCCCTGCTCCGACAGTTTCAAAATTGTCTAATGAGTCTACTATCTCCGCTACAAACACTGCTGTTTTGACGACAGGGACTCCGGCGAACGCCTCAAATCCCACTTTTCGTGGAAGACAGAAAAGAACCGCGAGAAGGCGCACAGTGATGGGTGTTGAGAAGGCACCTCTTCCGATTTTTCATTTTACCTTTTTTACGACCTGTTAAATGTGTGCGATCAGTGGGTCCTGTAGTAGACCCCTGTCGCGAATTATCGGTGTCTTTTGTGGAAGCAGTATGCAAAATAGGTGTTGACATACTCTAAGTGGAATTAGTTTCCCACATGCAAAGTACTAGTGAGGAGTGCAATACCCGCTTATCGCATTTCCAGTTCTGGTTCTTTATTTCATTGAGTGAATGTATTTTATCTAACCTTTAAGCGTAATAGTGAAATGGTACATTCATGAGCATGAGTGAAATCAGGTTAGTTTATGATCATCGAGTTAATTTTAATGCTAGAAACTGCTGATTCCTGATGACTCACGAAACAGACCCCTTCCTGAAAGTGCTAGATAATGGGAATGTTGTCTTCATTATACAAAAGTGTTGTTTTGCAGGCGTTGATGCAAATTAAAGTATATTTATGCATTTGAAGTTATCACGCTTTTCGGTAGTCTGGTCTATATGTGTAGTTCCTATGCTGACATTAGAACCTTATAGCTTACATTCCACTACTCATTTTTTACATAGGCGAAACTTAAAACAGTGTGTGAGATGTTGGTAACTGCAGGTGATGAATCAACCAAGGTCGTAGCCCAGTCGCTCACCACGATAGTCAATATGTCTGACGGTGAAAAAGTGAAGGCGTCTGACTTGAGAAATCTTCCTTCATTAGACGATTCTCAGCCTTGCTTGTATGTCCCTTCCCCTCCCCCATTAAAGAACCTAGCTTCTTCATCAACCAAACGTTCTGAACCTTCTATTCCCCGCAAGCACATGACGTTTTGTTCCCCTCCAAAAATGCTCAGAACGGCTACAGAATCAGTGCCAGTGGCAGTGGAGGCGCCCTCGGAGCCATCAACATCTCTTCAGTTGGAGGCGAGCGTCGTCAGTGATGATGGTGAGAGTCAGGTCGGCAGTCAACCATTAAGTGGTCGCTGGTCTTGCTGGCGCGAAACAGCTCGCAGCATTCCCGACTCTGCAGATCCACAGGAGGATACAACCTTGGATGAGGTCGATTTGGATGATGAAGGAGAATCGGGTCGCACGGTAAAGGTTCTCGAAGAAACCACCCAGTGTAACGAAGGCGTCTCACAAGAACTGCTGAGCAGTATCAATTCCTTATCCTCCCTTAGCGAGGTAGATTCAGGCGTGGCTCAATTAGAGGACACTAAAGTTATCAACCGGACGTCAACAAGTGATAACTAAGTTTCAGTTTTGCAACTGCAGCAAATTATTTTTTGCGGCTCTATTACGTCACTATATGCCTTTACAATAAAATTATATATGCTCTATTGTACTACTGTCCCACAATGCCTTGTAATACTGTCCCCCTACCCCCAGTCCCCCGTTATTTCTATGGCACAAACTCCCAATAAATGTTCTTGAGTTTAGCGGGTTGGCGAAACTACCTGTGGGTCGTGACGCCAATTTCCATTGTAATTGTATCGAATGTAACAAAATCAAAAGTAAAAACGATAAAAATTGCTGTTCAGACTAGGTGCTTTTTCAGTACGGTCGAGGAGAATCGTTTTTTCCTTGCCATATTTTTATATTTGGTCGGATTGGTCGGTCATCGCCCTTTTGTTCGCCTAAAAAAATATTTTACAAAACTATTTTACGCAGACACACGTTGATAGTTTTCACATTAGATAACAATTCACGGTCATTTTTCAGGTTGTTTTGGTTTTATTACCATGCTTCTCTGCTAATAGCTTGAGGACAACTCTGATCTTTAGGTTGACATCTCCCTATTCCTCTATCTCAGTGCACTCGCCTGTAAGTTTGAAGGTTGAAGCTAGGAACTCTCGTTTGTACTGACTGGCGATTGAACGCATTTCTCTGGAGGGTAGCCCAGCAAGAGCTGCATCACCAGAAGGGCCAGGTTTCACGTTTTCCAACCTCTTGGTTGCTTGTTCCGCTGTCGGTATCAAAGGTTGCGGTGGGGAGAGCACCGGCTGCAGGACTTTTCCCATCTCTCTTATCTAAAAAGTTAGCGAGAAACACAAATGAAGCAGGATGGCCTGTGGGGATATTGAGGCTCACAAGTGTGCACATATTGAGTAAGAAAGTTGCTCAAGTTTACTAGATACCTTTTCATATACGACAACCAACGTGTCACAAGGGCTTCGTCCAGAGCGGATAAAACCGGCCTTTATACCCTTCCCCTCCTCTCGGTCGCGTGGTGTTGTTTCTCGTAGTCGACCGTACTGCACGGCTATTCGACCACCAACGATGGTAAAAACGGGCTTGCTGCAATCGCCCTCGGACCACAGCACTAAGTCCGCGTCTGCCCCAATCGCCAACTGACCCTTTTGAGGGGACAGGCCCGCCAGTTGAGCTGGTCTCTTGCAACTTGCTTCGATCATGTGACACTCGCTTCCCCATCCTCTTCCCTAACGTACACATAAACTGACAAATGGGTAATATCGATTCTTTCGGATACATTGGGTGTCTAAGTGACCTCCACTTTTTGGTAGTTGATTTAGCTAGTGTCAACTTATTAAAACACTTAGTGAAACTCTAGCTGAGTTCATGCGCTTTGGCTGAAAACTCTGACAAACTTTTGAGAACTTGGATCATTCATGGTGGTACTTACCACCTTCTTTATTTGCTCAAATCATTTTTAGATTTGTTTATAGCTAAGCTCATTTCTTATCTTTTTTATCGACAAGAAGCATACCACAATTTTCCGATAGGCCTCCTGGATCCATGATACCTCGGATGATTTCGACTCGGTAGATAAGACGTACGATTCGCCACTGGATAGTATGATGTTTCCATCAGCAGCGATGTAGGGAGCCTGATCACTCATTGAACTCTGGAAATGATTTAACAATTGATTCCTGACATGTATTCCAATTACCAGTGATAAACTTTAACTGCCAAAGCTCAAGTGCTTGGTACAAATGCGCTTAACTCTGTTACCAAAAGTCGTCCTAAAAGAGGACAATGCTTTTTTTCCTGTGTGAAGGCATTAACAAACACTTGAACTTGAAAATATCCTGCGTAAGCTGTATCATTAAATGGGACTTGCGGCCTCAGTTCTACGCCACTCAGGCAAAGTACACTTGTAATTATGGGGGCACTTCTAATTCACCTTCTTTTGTGCATCTAACCAGTCCTGTTTTTAATTAATCTGCCTTCATTGACACCCTATTCAGAGTCATATCAGAGCACATTTCTGCAAACCAACAACTGGTTGAATTAAATCGCGATTGGACCATTAGGGTGAGATTCGCAAGCCCATTCAGCATGCATTGTCATTGCGCCAGAGGAAGTATTTTTTTCCAAAACGTGCGTCTTGTGCAAAATTTAGGTATGCTTTCCTACGTCTAGGTTTAGTGCATAATGGAATGTACGAAGGGACAAACGAGACTACAGCCCACCTCGATGAAGACGTCAGCGGCGAAGTCAGCGTATATGGGGAGAGGTGGATGTTCGCGTTGAGAAGTGTAAATTTTGTGCATTACTGCCGCACTTCGCACCGGTGACAAAACAATCGGACAGCCAGCAAGCTTAGCTATTCTGATGGCTATCGCAGCCAAACGCAAATCGGGATCCTGAAAAATGCGTAAATGGTATCTTTAGTGTCATTGTGAATGGTAAAATAAGGGCTCATTCGTAAATCTACCAGTAAAGGCCGGGCAGGATAACACAATAATGCCTTACTTGTAGCACCTATATCGTAAATTTCGATTTGTCTAACATAACCCAAATTTCGATTAGACGAAACCTAGTATTGAAATCTCAGAATGGTGCTGATTGGTTAAACCAATCCACTTGAGTTTACGAACATTGGTAGAACTTTAGAATAAAACAGACATAACCCCACTGCCACCAAGTGATCGATTGTTATTAGTTATTGGTGCATCTTTTTCGGACACGTAGGTTATAACAGAAAATGACATTGGGAGGCGACGAGTATGGCGATGCAATGAATGTTATTCTCAATTAAATTTGCAGACCAGTATCACCTCATGACCTAAACTTCGGGTAAAGTAGCCTTTTAACAGTTTCTGTGGGAAGCATTAGTTAGGATAATTAAAGCCCTCCTTCCAAAATTTAGGGCTACAATGATAGCACTGCTAAGTGTTGACCAAAATTCTCTGTTAGTGATAGAAATAATTCAGTTTGAACAGTTGTATGTGATTCGGCTTATGCGTGTATTGAAATAGATAAAGCTGCACACGACGCTGGTTTTTTCTCTGATTTCAAATGCAATAAATTCTACAAAGAGAACATACGCCCTCCATCTGCGGAATCTGCGACCCAGTGATCTTGTCAAGACCGACCATGGGTACAATTCCAAGATTGCGACACGTTGACAAGACGCCGTAGAGCACTGTGCTTTCGGGGTTTCCCCGTTCACAGAGGATTCGATCATTTTCCGGGATGGCAAGCTGAAAGCAAAACATTCGTACCCGTAAAAGAGTCAATCTTGAAAAGCGTTCCATGGGAAACACGAAGCCAAAGTGAGCCAGTTGGACGTCTGGTGTGCACGATAACAAAGTTGAATAGCTTTATTATACAAGCAAAAGTAATAAATTAAAAGGATTCTTTTTAGAGTTGAATAATGCTTGTTAACTTATTTGTAGCCTAAACCTACCAGGAATGATTTGATATGGTGTCGCTTCGTGAGCAGTTCGATATCGGAGATTGTGCCAACCGACAGGTGCCGTATGCCCGCCCTGACGGCAACATTGCAGTGGATGTATGTAGTTTGCAGGGCTTGGAGGTACGCGGCAACTGAGCTCAGCGGCGACTGACCATCGTCACTGTATACCGTGTCAACTAGATGGATGCAGCACCAAACGCATGAATGACAGGCAACAACTGCAAATCCCAGCTCGGAAACAAATTAGTCTTTTTTAGGCGTGCACCAGTTATTTCAAGACAGGAGGAGTGCTAAATCACGAAATTCAAATTCTAATAGGCTATTTTGTCACACACAAGTGACCATATATTTCAGTTTATTTTGGCCACCAAAATTGAGTAAGGCTTATGAACAGCAGATTGTCTTGTTGGACGGTAACGAATTTGTTGAAAAATTCCTAGTTTATTGTTAAAATCTCATAAGACCATAGCGTGGCAGAGGGGGTGCAGTATTTTGACTTGCGATGTAAGGCAACCTAATTTACATGTTTCGACTAATGCCTCGTTTGCTCATGCGAAGGCCTGTCACACGCGGGGTCAAATTAACAGATCTGAGCAAGGTGGCCAGGCGCTGCTAGAGCGCATTTGACCTGCCGGCATAAATGAAGCTAGTGATGAGCTGTCTCGGCACCTGGACGGGTAACGTGGACACAGATTTTGGCGCCTTCGAATGAGCTCACCGATGGTGGTAACTCCGGCCAGTACTGCCCGGGACGTAGCTTCGCGAATCGATGCCTGATCGGCCATTCCTTCGGCGCCAAGTTTGCTACTAAATGCATGGCTTGTCGCTGAAAAATCTACCAGTCCGGGACTGATAACGAGGTTGGTGGCGTCGATTTCCTGCACTTGTTTCTCGTTACTCAAGGCCTCACCGAAGGCACTGAAGTATGGTAGCAAAAACAAATATTACTTTGATTTTCATTGTAGTGCATTAAGTTTAAAAAGAATGGCGAATGCTTTTTATCATTCTAAATAAGCTTAGGATCATCGGGTCAGTAAAAGAGTGGTGCTATAGTAGAGACGACTTGTAGGTCAAATTCAGTTTTTATAGTTTACAATAAATTTTTCCTCTAGCCATATATGTGCTACACAAAAAAAAATGAACTTTCAAGAAAAAGAATCACACTTGATTATGTGTCACTTATTCACTTCAGGCAAGCATTACTACCTCACATTAAGTGGCGATCAGAAGCATAATTTTTGCTATCCGTATGAATGTACTTTAAACATTTGCAGTGTGTCTGTCTATGTATGTAACTTTTGGTTTACACTATATCCTTGCGAAACAACCATCTTGAATAAATCCGATTCACTCATCTAAACAATTCGGACTTCTTATATGTATTTTGGAATAACCTTTAAACGAGATATCTCAATTCGGCTTCTAGTGCCTTTATATGTATCAGGCTACGGCTGGGAATAAATGCTCTTGCCTGATCTTCCCGTTCTTTATGAGAATGTCAGTGTTGCAAGTATTTTCACAATCCATAATTCTTCCACCTCGGATGAAAAGATCACCAGTCATCTAGAAAAAAGATGTTAAATCAGTGCAAACAGATCCCCCAGTTGCAGTTGCAACCAGAGAAATAACCTAAAAAGCAAAAACTGCTCATTACTGCAAGAGTTTTAATCGGACCTTAGCGCCCAATAGTTGTTTAGCAGCTGTTCTTATAAAACAGCAAAATTACTTCACCCACTCTATACTTCCACATTAACTTGAACAGGAACAATTTGTACTTTTCAAAGCAGATTTTCAACTGCATGCACATTTTGAGACTGATTGTAGATACTAACCTTTAAGGACGATTCCAATTTTTGCGTAAGTACTTCAGTAACGACGGACGACTTGCTTCCATCGATGTGCTCATGTGCTAGCTGACTATCTGTGGTAACTCTTGAGTCCTGTTCTCCAATACCAGGTGGTGTCTTGGAGTCGTTCGGATCTGCTACGTAGCCAAAAAGCCCACTTGATGCTCGTCCTATAGACGGACGCTTCTGTTGGGAATCACCCTGCAATCCGGGAACTATTCCAGGTCGTTCCCATTCACTATTGCTCATTTCTCAGTGTGGATTCAAGTTGTGAAGTGCATTTGAACTTGGAACCCAAATCCCTTCTAGATTGAGTAATCAATAATTCGAATGAAGAAATCGACCCAACTATCGACTTTTCAGTCTGCATCATGAGTCAGCTCACACATTCGCTCCATTCACTGCAACACGCTTGTTGCTTTTCCCTCCATAAGGAAGGGAGGCTCTGATCCTAACAATAATGACAGTAAAATGAAGCAATTCTTGGAGGTTATTTGAGTATTTCATAGACATTTCCCACAGGCGTTTACATGATATCTCATTCAAAAACATCCTTCTTTGACAACCCCCACAGCTGTCAAAATATCCGGATAAGTTAATGCCTGCATTTAACGCTGCTATTTCATGCCAACGTAAGTTTTCGCCTTATGTCAGAGAACAAAATCTTGCGTCAAAATAATGAGCAGATATACTGCGATTGTTGGACTCCTTCTTATTGTACAAAACACAAAAAAAAAGAAATGAGATACGCCGTCTGGAGACTTATTACACAAATGGTAATCGCCTTAGGAGCCAACTTGGACTGATCTAATGATACACACTTCGGCAGACGACAGAAGACCATGATCAGATTTGAGGTGCGGCTAACCTCTCACAGGGTGCGTTCTTGACAAATACAGCCCGTCTGGTGGAGGGGCGCCCATAACTGGAGACGACAAATTGCGAGACCCGTATGCCTATTCTCGACTATTCCTACCCAGGAAATACGATTCTTTGGAGACTCCTCTTCAATCTGAGGTCAACTTTTGAGTGAATTCTAACTCAAATAAACTAACGCATCAGTAACAAATTCTTGGTCCCTTAATAATGTATGATAGTAGTTACAAAATTAGTGCGAAAAAATAGCTATTCAGTATGTTCTTCAGGAAGTCCCAAGGAATTAATCTGAGAAGCCCTTTCGGTTCCTTTCGGAAATGCTGAAGAGATCGCTGTGATTATCTCTTCGATTTGGGGTAGAGTGAAACGAGTGTCCAGGTCAGAAATCATCTGTAAAGGAACAAATTTAGAATTAGCAGGATTCCAGCACAAAATATCCCATAGCCAAAACAAGTAAACCTGCGTAGCAGCAAAGAAAACGGAACATGCTATCAATAGGCATCCTGATCGTTAGAAGAAACAAAAAAATTACACCGCAGCATTATTGAGCTTCGGAATTTGTTAATTCGTAAAACCCATTTTACCATGGGTAATTTCTGGTGCAAATCCACCCAGCAGCATATACAGGTGCCATTAAATATAATTACTGTTTGGTTATACCTAGACAGCAATGTCTTTATGCGCAGCCATGAAAAAATGTTCCAAAATTATGATTACAGGGAGACAAAGTCTACAAACCACATTTACACCATTTTTGGCAATGGAAATGAATAAAAACATAATAAAGCAGGAAATGAACAATTTTGCGAAGAGCGGTATGATTAAGTAAGGAAATTACCACGGAAAGTTCAACTTGGGTAGTTGGACAGTTGTTAATCAATGCAAGCAGTTCAGACTTCTTCAAGTTGAAATGTCTCATGGAAGCGATGAAAGACTGAATTGCATCGGGTGTTTGAACGGTGCATGAGGATTTCTCATTGAAATACTTCATTCCAGTGTAAAGAATTGTCTGCTGCGCCCGAACTTTGGCTTTTGATTCCATGCGTTTTTTCACAAAGTCGTATACCTCGAAGTTCGTAAGTGGCCTTACGTCATTGAAATCGACATCCATAGTTAGCTGTACACTGTTCAAACTGTGGTAAGATTATCTAAGTGCAATGTGTGTTTAAAGGTCATCCAACAAGCTTCTAGGAATAGTTCAACAGGGAACGCCAATAAAATTGCGAAAGTTACTCCAAGATACAAGCAATCTATGGTAAGAACTAAATAAACCCATAGCCAGTAGCAAACGGCCTAAATTTAGATGGGGATGTTCGAAAACCTAGACAACAATTTAATCGAATCACAACACTAACATGGAACAAAGTGAAATAAACCGCACCCAGAAGATTTTCTAGGGCACTTTAATCAACAAAACTAATGAGACGAAAAGCCACCGCACTTATCAATGCCTAAAATACGAAATTGCAAAGAACTAGAGCCATTTCTCACGCCCTGATTGTATTAAGAAAATATACATAACTGAACGATCACTTAACTTCTGCATCACGCTTACAGACAGTAAGGCAGTTTTCAAACATACTACGTCAAAGGCCATGATTCAGTAACGACAAAGAGCAGCGTCTACCTGCTTCCGCAGTGCACAAAATCCTACGAAAAAAATCAAAAAACGCAAAACCACTGAGAACGAGACAACGCCTGTGTAAAAACAGGTGAGAAACGTTACATAACCTTCAAAAAGACTCGGAAAGAACCACAAATAAATTACTAAGATCCATTTTATTGGCTACTTATTAATAGCATCAGCAACAATCTCAAAAGTACTTTAACGTAAGGTTGAAAAATCTATTACTATAAAGAAGAGCAACTTACCAAGTAAGTCAAGGACTAATGGATTTCAGCGAAGCAAATGGACAAGCCCCATTTAGGTTTATATTGTTTCACATATAAAACAACATTTTCAGATATTTCGAGAAATGTGATCAATTTTAATGTTAAATCTATGGAAAGGCAGCACGAATATTTATCTGCAAGTGGCCCTAAACCTCTTAATAGGTCTAAGCTTCTAAAGCCATTCTTCAAATCGATGCCATTGAAACTAATGCTCAAAGATTTTGCGAAGGCAAGCAGATAGTGCCCACAAGCAGAAACTTTAAACTATTTGCTGTTAAATGCTCCAATGTTGTTCACGCAACTGTCTTACATCTTCGTAAGATACAAGCGGTACTTTTGCGAAGCTTTTCACCAAATTACTTGTTTTTTACCGAAGCATGGTTTGTTATCCTTGATTTGGAGATACTAAAATCCATAGTGCAAAAGTTCGTATCCTCGCTGGATGTTGGTGAGTCGATCGTCTTCCTGGTCCCGTCCGTTTTTGTTTTAAATGCCCACAGACACGCCACCTTAGGAGCAAGATGGCCGGTCGTAAGTAGAGTTGTCATTATTTTAGCTTCGAGTTTGTTTGTTGTGGCTTCTCGACTCGGATTACTCACCGGTTCCTGTGTTTAGCCGTACTTCGTGCCTGCGGTTTGTGTTATTAATTAGTCAAGTGTCTACAGGTGATGTTATTTATTTCATACTGTGAAGGACAATTTATTCTTCGGGCCTTACGTTTTACGACGCTATTTGTTGATTCGTTACGTTTTTAAAGTTACTCCCCTATTTTAATAGAATACCAATATGCGGGGATCGCACAACCAGGTCAGGCTCCAACTTATCCTCAGTTCGCACAGTATCCCGGTGCAGGTGGGGATCAGGGTGCACAATTTCTTCAAGGCTATGCACTCGCGCAGAGTAATCCCGCCACCGCTGTTTTCGGTGGACCGTCATTCGGCCAAACCCCCTACCCACAGGGAGCTGCTGCTATGTCTGTTCCTCAGCTAGGAGCTCAATTGAGTGCAAGTGGGCTCGGTGCTGGTTTTCCCTATGGTGATTATTCTCAATTCAACCCTTACGGTCAGAATGCCGGTGTCAGTATGCCAGCGCCAATAAATGGTATGTTTGATGTTCTGATCAGCATTTACGCCTTCAGACGTACAACAATTTGGCCAGTTCCTTCCTAACGCTCTCAATCAGTCTGCTGCTCGAAATATTTACGAAGCAATTGCTCAAGAGCAGGGTTTGGCTGGTAAATCAAATGAGGGGTACATTAATATCTTAAGGATTCAATGCTGCAGCCTTTATGCAAGACACTACAAGCGCTATAGGCCGTCTTGGGGGTTTTTCTGGAAAGGGATTTAGTGCAAAGTAAGTTTTCTTTATGTTTAGGCTCAAGTACCAGATTTCCGTGTGCTGCTTCGTTTTCCAACTTTTTTTCGATTTTTTTCGATTCTCTTCCCATGAATATCGTTTTGTTTTGGATGATCACATTTATCTGTCGATATGCGTATTCATTACTTTACAATTGTGGTAAATGCCATGTTTGTCGACCTATCTGGCTCTAATATGTGAGTTCTTGTGTTTTCTTAATAACTTTGTTCCAGAGCGGAAAACAGTGCGCTGCCGACGCGTGGTTTTTTTTCGATTTTCATAATGCGATTGCATGTCATTTTTTGGATTTCAACATTTAGTACCTTTTCAGCCAAAGAGCTGGCATGAACAAATTTGAGAATGGTGAGTAGGAGTAATCATTGCAAAAACCGTTTTTTCCCATACTTTAAGAATTATGATCTCCGTTACACTTTTTCTTAAACTATTTTTTAACATTTTAGGTAATCGATCGAGCAACCTACCCAGTGTTACCAATCGTAAGCCGATTTCCTTTCGTAATTTTTCTTAGCTGATGGTCTGCGTGAGGATACTGTGTTTGTTAGCAAACTTCCTCAAAACATCGATCACGAAGTTATGAAGTCTCATTTTGGTACAATTGGAAAAATTAAGGTATAGCAATTCCCTCTGGTTATTTGCATTATAGATGAATGCCAAGACAGGAATGCCCATGATATGGATATTTAAGGAACGCGGCATCCCCAAGGGCGATGCTCTAGTCACCTTTGAGGATCCCCAGTGTGTGCAAAAAGCAATCAAGTGGTTTTCAGGTGATTGTCACCTTGTTTTTCTGCCCGTTCATGTCAGATTTTTCATGATCTCTTTAGATATTGGGTTTTGTGAATATTTTTGGAAGCATTTGCAGTTTTGCCTTATTTGCATTGAGTCAATTTTGCTAAATACGGAAATTTTTTTTCGTAATTGCCTGCTTGTAGAGAACGAGTTTCTCGGGAAAAAGATAGAAGTTAAACAAGCGAAGAATAGCCAACGGCCTGTCATTATTCCAAGCGGCAGTGGTGGCCAGCAACACAACAATTCTGGTGCAGCATCCAATCGACCTGGCAGTTTAAATCAATTGTCTGTCGGCTCTTCCGGTATTGTCATTTAATTTGGCATTGTTGGTAACTGTAGGCATGACCATACTTGCGGGTGCAGATCGAACGGTGGATATGTATGGAGGGCAGTTTGACCCTAGGAATGATGGTCCACTTCAGTCACGTGGTGGAGGCGGCAGACCTCCAATAAACGCTGGAGGAATGCGTGCCATTGGTGGTCCGGGAGTAAACCGAGCTGGCGATTGGTGCTGTCAGTCCTGTGGGCGGCTTAACTTTGCAGGACGCGACCAGTGCAAACCATGTGGAGTAAGATAGATTCTCCAGCCCTATGAAAAATAGCTCTTTTTCTAAGTATATTCCACGTAGTATAGACGACTTATATTCATTAATGTGTCTGCCCTCTGATCGTCTACTGCGTCCGGATTGTGGTTTCTTGTTAGTCTAGACTAGGGGCTCCTCAAAACAGGTTCCCCTTCGATTGCGATACTGAAGTTTCGTTTGTTTAACTAAGTAGTCTATTTTCGAAACCCACTAGCATATACTATCTTCAAGGGAAGGCGCAAGCAAGACATGTATGCATTCATTGTAGGCACCACGTCCGGATGACGGTATGATGATGTCGAGGCCTCCACAACGTGGTCCGTTGTTCCCGCCGCACCAGATTCCGGGAGCACCGACGGCTAACGGAGGGCCAATGATGGGTCCTGGTGGACCGCCACTGCCACCCCGGGGCGGTCCGATGATGCCACCGCCACCTGGTGTTAGAAGTGGAACGGTTCCTCCGCTGAATGGGGGTCGGGGTAGCGGTAGTGGACTGTCAATGCGCGGCGGGAGGGGCGGGGGTCCCATGCGCGGCAGCTCTATTAGTGCCGGTCGCAGCATGCGCACCACTCCATACTAAAATTAAAACGCATTTAGCACGCTCTCCACGTTACAAGGCGGCCCCTTTTGCCCCCTTTCAACCCTGTTGTCCGTAATTGTCCTGCCGCTTTTATTACATCCCGTCTGTGAACCTTTTTACGCAATAACTGTCTTCATACACAACTGATCAGCTGCTTCTCATTACGCGTATATGGGATAGAAATGGATGCTTCGGTCTCCGCTGTAGATGCTGCGCAAGATATTGCGATTCGACAACCAGTGACCTCAATGCCCTAGGTAGTGAGTCGGCGTTAAGGAGCTCTCGGGCTCTTCACATCAGCTAGTGTGCTAGTAGGCCGCTACAGCTTCTGACGTTCATTCCCTAGTTGGGGTCCAACTTTCCCTCGACCTAGTTTTTGATGCATTGGGTAAATTACCCTGTCCCGTCCAACGTTTGAAATTTTTAATGTTAACCTTTGTGCGGACCCGAAACCTTGCATGTGCGCAGTTCTTAACGCTTGAAATTAACAGGGACGTGTACAAATGGCGATCTTATTTTATTAAGAGAATTTTGTACCAAGCTTCTTCCTAATGGTGGTGCTGCGTTCCTGCGTAAAGGGTTATAAGGATAAGGATATTTAGGAGAGGACGGGAGTATGAAGGCGTTTTCTTCACAGGCGCTCTCTTTGGACAACGTCGGGGTGACTCGCGACCAACTGGAAGCGTGCCGCCGGGGTGTGTATGCATGAAGGGTGAGAGAGAGGGGTACTTAGCGGTGTCTCCTTTTTTTCTTGCCGCTCGGCATCGACGCGTATGGCTTGGGGTCGTTCTCGCTGACTCCGTCCTCGAAGTGCTGACTGTCGTGAAAGGACCCGTTAGAGATGGAACCTTCGTCTAAAATCAAAAAAACAGTGAAATGTGGGTGTGGGAGTTAAGATGTCCATGATTGCCTTTCTGCATCTACACAAGAGTGTCGATTTTCGCAAAAGCTGAGATTATGGGTGGACGTCTAAGCTACTCACGTCTATCGGATTCGTAACAGTTGTGCATATTGGCAGCGGATGCCATTGACGTGACGGACGAGCGAGAAAAGAGCCGATCGGAGTCGCGGAACTTGCGCACTCTTTTGTCCCCGGTGCCATTGGCTCCTGCCGCGACACTAAAAGCGCTTCCAGATCCTGAAGTTAACAAATAGCGATCCCAGCCCTTTATGATGTTGCCATATGGTGCCGTATCGTCCAGATAACTGCCCTCAAAGAGGTAAATTTGGCGTTCCAAATTTGCGAGGCTTTCCTGTAAGCAATATTAGCTTGAGAATAAGATAATATCCGCTGGGACCGACAATATTCCAGATACTTATATTCCAAAAATAGTTTTGCAGTGTTGACTATGTGCCAAAGACCAGCAAAGCAGACTCACGATGAGATAACGCCTCTGGCGCATGAGATTGATGAGTTCTGACCTGGAATCAGCCAACTGGGTGTTCTCAGGCATTGTCACATTATTCTCCTGCGTTAATAACATCCAGAACTAGTTAGAGTTACATGAAAAGACCCCGCAGTTACTGCACCTGCGGAGTTGCAATAAATATGCCAGTCAAAGCACATTTCTCAGGTGTCCTATGCTGAATTCAAAGCATAAATTACTTAACAATGCATGTAACAGCGTTAAACAGGCACCTAGCCTACGCACACTAGACCTCAAGTTCAGTTTTGTTCTATAAGCCCATTATAACAAAAGAAATCACAGTAATAATGCTTGTTATTCGTAATGTTTCAGCTTTTTTAACAGATGCTTTTAGGTGTTGTTTTTGCAGACTTTGTGTAAAATATGCAAAAGTATTACATAAACTATTATGAAGCTACTAAAAAGTGCTTTTCAGTCTTAATTCGTAACTTTAAAAAAAACTTTAGTACGCGTTTAAACTTTTAATATGCAAGAGGCCTTAAGTATTGTAAAGCAATTCGTGCAGAGCCCAAGTTTGTTTTTAACTATTTTATTAATAGTAAACTTTAACACAAGGTTTTGCTGCGCCGTATTTTACAAATTAATATAAAAATGTTTTTATTTTGTTTAAGCACACTAATTATTACCGGCTAATTTGCATGACGGGGTTTTGGTGTGGAGCCTCGTTAGTTGTGTGTTAGCTTTGGCAGCTGGTGCTATGGTTAAAGTTAATGACGTGATCAATAGTTCCTTTTTTGCATATTAAAATTTTTTGCCTCATAGTTGGTAAATTATGATCTTATCAAATAACTGGTTTTGATTTCGTTGAATTATATTTTGTTGCACTGAGGTCCTTTTTTGGAAATTAGTATGACTTGCTGCAGTTTATGCTAAAGTTGTTTTCTTGTGTTTCTTGTTTCCTTTTTTGACATACGGTTTTTTGGTCTTAGTCTGCACTGTGAACTATGGAAGAAGCTGAGGAAGTTGGTCCTCGCTATAGGATGTGTTTGTTCCTCTTTGGGAATGTTGATAAACGGGGCCAGTTAGAGGACGAATACGCTGTTGATGAGGAGCTGTCTTCAATAAATCACATTGACGCATGCCACGTAAATGAGGTTGAGGCGAATATTAAGACGATCGTTTCAGATATTACTGACGGTTATTCCCCTGTTTCTCATGATACCACTGAAAATATTGTTGACTCACTCCAACCCATCGAATCTAAAGACTACTATGATGAGTCAGAACTGATTTGTCTTGATGCCATTGAAAACTCTGTTCCTGGTGTGGTGAATTCTGATGTAAGTGTACTTTTCCTACAACTTATTCAGGTGTTTTGTCGCGTAAATTGTGCTTTTTAAATCACTGTGCTCAGTAGGATGACTACGGTGAACCGGTACAAACTTTGGAAGTCACAGCCTCAGTTAAAACGGAGGGAATTTCTGCCTTGGACAATTTTTCAACAAGCAACGCGCTGTTTTCGAGCTCTCTAACATCTTCAGTTTCACACTCAACGCACCCTTCATCTCTTCCTCCAGTTGTCTTTTCCGTATCCAGATGCCGGCCAGAACCCTCACCTCTGACTGCAGAGCAGCTATCAATTGATTCTCCAAACCTCGACTCTCCTTCTTTAGCCAAACAGGAGGTCGATGCCGCGACCGTGATGATGCCACCCCCTTTGCACCCCGCTCCCATTGCTGTTTCACGTCAGCAACATCGCGTAAGTATGAGTAATGAAGTAATGCCTTCTTTTTCCGCATACTCAGGAATTCCTTTGAGGTAATTATTGTTGTTTGCTGGTTCCCATAGATCAAGAATATCAAAACGTATACTTTGCTCATAGTCCCTTGTCTGATTTCGCCTTTTATGCTATGATAATAAGGCAGCTTACATTAATTGGAAAGAATTGAATTGAAGCTCAATAGAGTACTTTATTCCGTAGATGGTCTCGCCACTTGGCAAAACAGCTCTGAGCCATGATGGTGATCCTCATTATTCATCTGATCATCAGGCCCTCCCACAACGGGTACTCAACACTCCTTTGGGTAATCTTTTGCCTCCGGAGTATGCTGATGTGGACATCACTGCGTTGTTCCCCCACTACTCTCCCAACCTCATTCCCAGGTGGGGTCGCATAATCAATCTCCCCTATCCCCCTCAGAAGTACGACAACCTCAAACACGATCCAACTGATTATTCAGAGGATGAAGGCTTAATTGGCTTGACCAAGGGAGGAGGAGAGAATTTGGATGAAGTGATTGACAGGTGTTTTTTGAGAATTTTTTGCAGTCATATGCTTACTTTATTGAAGTGGATTGGAGGTTGTGGTTTGGAGATTGACAATCTTGGATGACTGCTAAAATTACTTTAAAGCTCACAGACTTATGCCAATGCCCAAGACCATCACCACACATCATTGATGAGGCATAAGTTTAGTTATTTTCCTCCTTTTTTTCTATCAAGGTTTAATTTAATTTTTCGCAACTTCCTGAACCTTGGTGAAATACCGACACACGCAAAACAGTTTGAAGAAGCGGAAAAATTAGACGAGTTACAAGAGTTGCACCGATCTCCGGACCCTAGTCAGAATTACCTTGCGGGTGCGGAGCGCTCCTGGTGGCAGATAGCCTTCGCAGAACGTCTGACGCGGCTGGAAAACAGCTCCTCCACGGCTTTCACTCAGGCTGCCCCTAAGGAGACGGATTCCAAGAAGGACAGAAAATCTAGGAAGAAAGCCTTAGCAACTGCTGTCAACGACGCTTCAACGCACAACAATTCAACCTCTCTCGCCACACTTGATGTGAAGGCGAAATCAGAAGAAGGCGAGTCATCAAGCAATATACAATCGCGATACTGGTAATGCTTCGTGCAATATTGGCTGCGGATATTTAAGCTAAGCCTGTGTTTAAAATACACTTGAGTTCACGGCACGACTTTAGCTGTACTGGATATTTTAAGTACTAATCAGTTCGCTTACTTAAATTATAGTACGAGACATTGGTACTTTATGTTAGCAACAGAGGTATGGTGCGCATATTTTATCGTATTAACAGCATTCATTTTATTCATGTTATTTGCGCAGTTTAAAACACAATAGACCGTAACTGGAACCTTTTGCATTGTAGGATCCTGTGATCACTTCACCAAACCATTTTCAGGTTTTCGGGTATTTTTTTCTAGGGTTTTACTCATCGCATTATAATTGAAAACAATGTACCCCTATTTTTTAATTATTCGTGTGGTTTAATGAACCGAGTATTTCGCTTAGATATCCCGTATGTAAGCATAGGACTTTATTGATGGGAAGCTTTTTTTACCTGATGAGACATTCTCTATTGTCAAATACATAGTACGTGGCGGTTCGGTCCTGCGAAGTACTGGTATGATCAGTTGGAGATACCCGAAACGGCGGACATCACGAAGTGGACCATGTGGCGCAAAAACGTCATCCCTCCTGTTGCTGTGGCACCCACGCAAGCCGGAATTCTCAACGTCGCTGACTGCAGGCACCCCACCTTGACTGTGGACTCGGAGACGAGGGGTTTGTCTTTTCCTTTATATTCCATTTCTTTGCTCCATCATTGTCCTTGTGGATGGATGTGCTGATGATGTGCAAATCCACTGGCATTATGAACTCTCATTTGAGTTACATCGTGTTTCCCTTTTTATAGCATCTCTTTGATAACTTTTTCTGCTTAGGTCCTGTTAAGAGCTGTCCTTTATAAATGTTTGCCACTTTATTGTGACTTTATTCTGCGAAGTGATGCTATACAGGTTTTCTAATGAATCAATGTTCAAGTAAGAAAATGCATAAATAATGCAGATAGAATCAAGATAAACTTTTAGAGTAACTATGTATTTTTAGCATTTGATTTTCGATGACATCCTCTCTTACAACAGAAAGCTTCTAGTTTTGCCGCCAGGAACTTTTCATGACCATTGATTTATCGTGTATAGCTGTTGCCGCAGATTCGACAGAAGCTGTGACACAAGCAGGACCTCAGATATCACATTTAATTGGTGACGTAGACGAGGAAGATGTGGTTAGTGGAACAGAGGGAGTGGAAGCGGAGATGGAAGATGAGGAGGAAATGTTCCTACCCTACAAGCTTATACAGTGGGAAGACGACATCATCTACGATCCCCAATTGAGTAACAACAAGGTGGCTGCAAGTGCCAGGCAAAACGCTGTCTATGCTGGCTGGATCCCCTCACAAGTTTGCCGTACTATGGCTTCGTTTCAGGTATGTTTCTGATTATCAAAACTCCTTCGTATAAGAGACAACTCTGATGCTCTGTTTTATCATTAGACGAAGTAAAGATGTGTAGTTTCAAATGGAGGTGTCTGTTCTTTTGATAGGACAGTTACCAAGGCAAATACCCAGGCATCCTGGGCTACAAGGTACTGACCGGTTCAGGGCAGATTGGCCAGTCGGCGGCGGGTATGTCTGGAAGCAGTGCCAGTAGCACCGTTGTATCTGCCTCCTCAACATCCGTAACTGATGCTCACAACCAGGCCGCTACTGCTCTGCGCTCCTCCGCCTGCTTCACCGGACCCTACTCCTTCTTTCCTGTTGAGAACCCTCAAATCATGGACGACAGTTGGCGTTTCGATATCATCTACGACCCTCAGTGTCACACACCGGCAGTCGACACGCCATTTCTACTCACCCTTAACAAAAATGATGAGCAGAGTCTTCTCGACACTTTAGTTAACGACGACGAGCTCATGGTGGTGAATGCCCCGAGCGCCCTGAAAAAGAAGCAGCCGGAGCACATGCAAGATGGTCACATCAACCGAGCCAGCTTTCACGTCACCTTCGGTTTTGCATCCACTCGTGGCACCCTAACCGGGGCTCTGGCGAAAGCAGAAAAGGGAGCGGAAAAAGTAAAGCGTATCCTCGGCAAGGTAAGCCCGTATTTTTCTTGATGGTCCTCTTTTTTAATCACCATATTCTTTGGTAATTGTCTTGTGCTTTGTTTAAAGTTGTATGACATCAGATTCATAGTCATCACGAGCATTATCGCTATTTAATCGAATATCTTCGCTTTTATAATTTTTTGTTATCGCACAGAAATGAGACTTCAGAGATTACTTGTTTTTTAATAAATTTGGATGGTGCCATTTTGCTTGGAACGTTGTGCTACACATGTAGGAATGCTTGTTCCTATTTGAAGACAATTCTACACACCCATCTTGCATCTTTGACGTTAGTGTAACGGTGTTGCGTGCCCACGGGACCAGCAGGCAATGTGATGTTGGTAATCCGTTACAGATAAGCCCCATGGGATGTAAAACCACTGCTAACTGTAGAATGACTAGGTGGCTCAATCAAAGTAGCGCATGAGATTAAGGCTATAATATTAAAAATTGGTTTTCCTTAGAGTACTGTATTCGGTTAAACTACTTGTGCATAAATGTATTTGTGTAGCATGGGTTCCTGGCTGAGGGCGAGTGGAACGAGGAGAGTGCGGAGAGCGATGATAACGCGGAGGGCGGCGAGGATACGAATCAAGAGACAGCGAATATGGCTTCAGCGGCAGCAGCTGCCTCGGGTCTGCCCCCCAAGGACCCCCTCAACCTCTCTAACGATGAATTTTACGCCATTCGCTCCGGTGGCCTATTCGGCAACCTTGCACGTTGTGGCCCACTTCAACACAGTACTCCCGCTGTAGAGCTCTGGCCACCCTTCTTCCCCACTTACAACACTCCCTCTCGTCTCAGGCAGTTTCATCGTGTCCCTCTCAAGCAGTAAGCCTGTCTCCTTTTTCTACATCTGCCTCCTTTTATCGACTTGTTAGTGGATTGCGCGGTTACGGTTTTTTTGCCTTCTTCATTGCCAGTTGTATCGGGCGAATCTGAGTAGTGTGAGTAGTCGACTGTTAATGTTGTTTTCTTTATGCCATCCTGAAGATTGCATGTTGTTCGTGTGAGTACTTTGCACCAGAATTTAGTGGGGAGTGCTTAAATACTTATTAGGATTTTAAACGAAAATGACGTCAGTCAAATACATTAAGCAATAACATAGCTTTATGCTTCGTTTAGCATCACCCTTTTAGAGGCATTAAAAATAAAATTCTATCTGTACGCAGTGTCACCCCTTTACAGATAATTACATCAATTCGTTTTGCATTCGAGCCCCTATTTTCACGAAGTTTAGTTATTTATGCTCCTTTTCCGGGCTCCTTCCCAGATACACTCGTGGTATGATGTCCCAGTTCAGCACACCTATTTCTGTGAACAACCTTACGAGGATAATTCAGAGGAAATCCAAGGAACGAGAAGAAGAGAAGATAGCTGCCGGGGGCGGCGATATTTTCTTCATGCGGACGCCACAGGATCTCTCTGGCTTCGATGGGGAAGTAGTTCTCTTCGAGTACTCCGAGGAATTTCCACCACTTATGAATCAAGTGCGATTATTTTTTTAATCACTGCATAATTGTGTTTTTTATTATGAAAACTTGTGCAAATATCCACTGTGCTTGCCTATTTCTTTGCTATTTTTCACCAGCATTAAATAGGAACTTTCTTCACAACCTTCCCTAAGTTCCTAACTCTATCCAGGTATTCGCATTTACGTGGGAATTGATACACCTTTTTGGTCACTTGTCCACTTCAGCGCTTCCACCCCCGAGTTCGTTTGACATTCCTCGTCGAATCTTCTAGCTCACATCTTACTTATATGGTTTTTAAAAAGCTGTAGTACCTCGAACATTCTCGAGTTTGGGTTGCGAAATCCGCCGTTGATCAGGAGAAATCGCGAATGTTTGGATGATGGAGGAAAACTATTAGAAATAGCTTTTTGAAATCCTTTTTAGAGCGGTATGGCGACAAGGCTGGTGAATTACTACAGACCCCTGCTGCCGAAAGATCCGTCTCTCTCCCCCGACCCAGCAGGCAATAGTTCACCCCCGGATCTCCCTTATGGCTCACTAGTTAATGTAGGGAACACTGATTCACCCTTTTTGGGTGTTGTGCGTCCAGGTGGATGCCTCCAGGTGGGTAGGTGGATGATAGACTTTATTTATTTATAAACTCTATATATTACTTGACCTCTTTTCCTGCATTGCAGAGCATGGAGAACAACATGTTCCGAGCGCCAATCTATCCTCACAAGACACCCTCGACAGACTTCCTGGTGATTCGCAACCGCAATGGTCTATGGATCCGGCGAGTGCCGAACGCCTTCACGGTGGGTCAGGAGGTTCCGTTGATGGAGGTCCCAGGACCCAATTCGAAGCGCGCCAATAACTTCGCGCGCGACTTTCTTCAGGTTTACATTCTCCGCCTCTTCCTCAAGAGCACTGATGAGCCAAAACGAATCAAGATGGAGGAGATTCGCTCCGCTTTCCCCAACCACTCCGAGAGCAGTGTCCGCAAACGCCTAAAGATTTGCGCTGATTTCAAGCGAACCGGTAAGATCAACTTGTTTATCGGATTCGGCTCTGTTTGTGGTGTCCATATTTTAGGAAGCAAGTTTTTTAAAAGTAGATGTTGTTACCAATTTTGGAGTATTTTTTGTTGCTTGACCTTTCTCACTAGTCTGAGTCTAATCACCTTTTAGTATGTCACTGCTTTTCTTCCTATTTTCTTTAGTCGTCCCAACTTTTGAAGTTATGTTCAATTTTTCCTCACTAATCAACAATTGACCACTATTTCATTAAATTGCTATTCTACCCTTGCCATCAAACTCACAAATCGACTCAAGGCACTGGATACCCTTCTTTTGCTGCAGTACTGTGCTGAATGAATTCGTCAAAATTTGTTTTTTTTTAGTGTGCGACATTAGAAGATCCTACCTCGTTTATGGAGTTAGGCAAGGAGGCTTATTTTGGTTCATTTGCACCTACGTGTGTGTTTAGGTGTGGACGCCAGTTGGTGGGTCCTGCGTCCAGACTATCGCCTGCCCTCTGAGGAGGAGATTCGCTATCTAGTGCAGCCAGAGGACTTTTGCGCCTTCTTCAGTATGCAGGCGGCGGAGCTGCGTCTCAAGGATGCCGGCTATGGCGAGAAATCGCTGTTTGTTCTTGATGAAAATCCCGAGGAGGAGGAGGAGAAGGAAGGCCAGGTAGGAAAGGGGGAGGGACATTAAAATGGTATGATTACACATCAAATTAAGCACAATACATAGGTCCAACAATGCTCGATTCCGGTTTGGCAGGTGACTTAATCCAGGCCTAATTGTATTTGGAGTCACTAGATTTGTGTCAAAGGACTACAACCCGTCGAATTAATACTGCTACACGACTGGCGCAGAATGTTTATATTTTCACTAAATTGTTCTGCTTTGAATTCACAACTTTTTACATCAAACAATCGATAACGTTTGCTTGCCCTGGTGCATTGATAGTCATACTAAAAGGTAGGCAGACAGTGAGGGTTTATTGCTAAGCTAATTCTAAACTGCAATGGTTCGCGCTATAGCCCAAAATGGAGGACGAGGTGCGGGCGGCGCCGTGGAACACGACGAGAGCTTACTTAGCGGCGCAGCGTGGCGGCTGCTTCCTAGAGCTGCATGGACCCGCAGATCCCACTGGGTGTGGGGAGGCATTCTCGTACTCTAAGACCTCTGCCAAGCCTGGCGCTCTCTTCCGTCAGGCTGGCGGGGAAGTAGCGCGAGGACTCCTAAAGGATAAGAAGACCGTTACCGGCACCGACGCTGATTTGCGGAAATTGCACCTTCGAGAGGCCAGAGCGCTTCTCCGTTCCTTTGGTATTAGCGAGGCTGACCTTAAGACCTTCAAACGGTGCGCTTCTACTACTTTTCCTTTGCTTTCTCTATTCCCTATCTGTTCGACGCACACAAGAGCTTAGTTACAAAAGTACGTGGTAGACATGTCGCATTTTTTAATTACTTCACTTTTTTCACCGTCAACTTTTACGCCTGAATTTTATGTCGTGACAACTACTTGATAGCACTAGTCACCGACTCGCTGCTTTTGCATCGCCATCATCATCATATGAAAATCCCATTTCAATCAACGATTTCTTGAATGGTTTAAAAATATGATTCAATGTATCCGCATCCTAGTCCGGATCACCCGTAATGCTTTGGTTGTGTTATTTCTCTTGAGCATGTCAAAGTGTTATTTGTCAGTTTTCCGGCGTTCCTTACAGGTTTTTAGAATAGGTTTTCGAAAGTCTCAGGTGGTCTCCACCAATTTACTCTGCCAAGATCATCCTCACCGATAAAGTCGCACTTCATCAGCAGTGTGTCTATTTGCCGCATAAATTTCCCAGAAACAATTGTCTAAATGCTTGTGACTATGTTCCTATCATGAGTTAGAAATTAGCTTTTGGCGAGTTATGCAGTTGTTATTGCTGTGAATAAATCGGTTTCAAAGGTCTTTTCTCATTTTTCGTGGTTATAGTTGCTACCAAATAGTCAGAATGCTCTGCATTTTCACACCGCTCGAGCTTTTCAACCCACGTATAGGCGACTCTGTGAGAGATAATTTTATCCTCATACGGAGTATGCATGCGAATATGTTTTCGTTCTCGATACGCTTTCCGTCCTCAAATGTGTATGATAGAGTACTGCTTCCTTTCACATGTTTCATACCTTCTTTACTTTAGGTGGTAAATATCACAAAACTGCAAGGATAGCCATCTTGCATGCATAACTAAATGGGTAACACGCCTAGATAAGAAATTAGGCTAGGATTGAACCTAGACCCCAACAGAGCAAAAATAAAGCCTTGTTGATACTTACTTTCTCTGGAGCCTTCTTTTAGTTGGGAGATAATTGACATGGTGCGATTTACTTCAACGGAGCGTGCAAAGCAGGGAGAGGAGGAGAGCACAGCCAAATTTGCGCGTGGCAATCGTCTCTCTATGGCAGAGCAGATACGATGCTACCGGGAGGAGTGCCAACGAATTTTTGATCTGCAGAATCGCGTCCTTTCCAATCCCGAGTTACTCTCCTCGGACGAGGAGGAGGAAGAGCCCAGCTCAGAGGAGGACGAGGATGATGGCAAGGTCGGCGCTTCCGGGGCCGGCGGAGGCAGTGGTAGTGGTGGCGCCTCCTCCAACGCCATCGGTGGGGTTCGACTCTCTAGTCTCCCCTCCTCAAACCAACAGTCCGTGCGCAACGTCCACTCTCTCCTTACTAATCGAATCACCTCGGAGGAGCTGCGAGAACGTCAGGAGGAGGCTGAACGCGAGAATCTTAAACGGAGTATGGAGCTCGGGGTAGGCCTTTATTTTCTCCTCTTCTCTGCTTGTAAAAGTGAGTGTTAGCTGTGATCTTAGTATAGCTTTAATTCGATCCTAAAATTGTTTATGAACTTTTTGTAACGCAAAGTTTCAATCTTTAATTAATCCATAATTACAAAAGTTACTCTAAGTCTAGGGCTTGCTGCTTTAACAGTTCTTTTGAGGGCTTTTTTAATGTAGCAATATAGCAATATTGTCCTCAAGAGTAAGCATTCGTTCCTTTCGCATTGCTTGTCGTTTTGGTGTATTTGAACTCCCTTGCAGAAATCGCTATGTTCAAGTAAAAACAAACGTAAGCAGAACCCGCAAGGAGCGATACCGAATGCAAGCGACGCGGCTAATGCACAACAACAACAACCCGGAGTGGTGGCGGCAGAGGTTGAGACTACAGCGCTAGTGGTGTACGAAGCGAGCGCGGCGTCAGCGGGCACTATTCTCGACTTGCCTGCACCTTTCCCCAACGCCCAGAAGAAGATGATCCGTATTACTCGCACCTACTGTAAGGGCACCGATCGCGAGTACTCCCGTACTGAAGTAGTACCTTGGTCCCCTGTGGTTGAAATTTACCTTAAGATCAAACAGACTCGTGATCTTGAGCAGATTCACACCTTCGTAGGCTCCGATGAACAGTTCAAAGAGCAAAGACGGAAGGAGAAACGGCGAATCCAGGTTTGTCGATTGTGGTTCCTATGCATCGCGATTCTCAGTGTACACTATCATGCCCAATAATTCGGGTAGAAGAGTGTAATGTACCTGTTTAGGTCCTATTTGTGCAAATTTACTATTTAATTGCCTTTTCGTCTTTGAGCTTACATCTCATCAGTATTAACACTTGTGTGCAGGACCAGCTGCGTCGAGTCCGCAAGCAGCAGGAGCTGCTGCGTGCTCGGGGCATGGCGGATGGAGGTGCACCTCTGAGAGACGCCAGTGGTCGTCTTCTGCCCATCAACCGTTTGCCTGGTTCTGGTCCCGTTCCCTCCTCCTCTCGCCGCCGCCACAAACCCTCCAGCAACATCCTCAAAATGCGTTGTGGTGCTTGCGGCCAAACTGGTGCGTCCTCTCAATCCACTTTGTCTCTTATCCTCTTCAGTCCACTTTTCCTCACTAGTTCCCAGTTTTATTCTGTTTCTTTGTGTCATTGCATCCTCGTAGTCTGCTCTCTAATATTACTTTTCTGTTATACTTTCATCACATTCGTAGTTTGAAATGCAATATTTCAAAGTTTTGTGCACACCGGTACGTAATCATAATTATATGCTCCCCGCCCTCTCTAAAACACTTATTGACACAACTTAGTCGACTTTTTTCGCGGTTTGTGCTAGTTCTTAGGAGGAAACATCCATTTCCGTGCAAATATGTGCCAGTCATTCCTGCGTGTATACGTAATGCCCTAAAGTTTGCGAAATTCTTAAGTGTAGTTTGATTCTCGCGCGTTTCACGGTTAGTCAAAAATACTAAAAGGATGGCTTTAGGTTGCTACACGATTTGGTTCCATTTACACCTAATGTATTTCCTTGATTTGTACGTAAAACTGTGTATACAATATTAACTCATCAGTCACGCAGTTGTCACAAGTATTTTAACTTTTCTCAGAAACCTACTGACTCAACCCTAAGTTGGCATCCTTGAATTGAAGACACATTTACAAGAACTTATTTTTTTCACATTGCTGTAATGATTAATCATTCACTGTACATGAAATCGAATCCGTCTGTGAAAATCGCGTAGGCCACATGCGCACAAACAAAGAATGTCCGATGTACGGGCGAAATGACGCTGTGGCGCCCCCTCCGCCGGGCGGAGGGCGCAGTGGTTCGCGCCGCGTGCTGCCACCGGGCGTCGAGCCAGAGACGGTCGCAGCTGCACAGGAGCTCACTTCAAAACCCGTCGCCGAGCTCCTCGCTGCCACTGGCGGTGGCGTGGCCATTGGAGGCGGTGGTGGGGGCGGTGATGGCAGTGGAGGCGTGGGCTATGATGCTGGCGACACCGATTCTGCCGCTTTTGGTGATGCACCGCGCAGTATTGGCGCTTCTCGCCTCTCTGACGACTCCGATGACGCCTTCGACCATCATCGCGGAGATTACGAATGCTATGATGCTCATGACGAGGATTCTCGCACGGTTAGTTCTTTCTCCAGCGCTCTCTTTGGTTTTACATCGTATCGAAGACTCTTAGAGTTCGATTTTATTTATGATTATAAAATACATCTAGTCATGTTTTTAAAGCAGTAGTAGATTCCATTTTTGGACTGAACGTTCATGCTTGTCTGCTTTTTAAATATAATTGGTCTCCCTATAGTTTTTTTGGGAACACTACAAGGCCATAGTTTTGTACTCTGGTTCAAGTGACATTAAATGTGCAACACAAGTGATATCCATAAGAGTAAATATTAGTGTTTCGTAACCTATTTTGTTTGATTACTTAATACAGTGACTCACGCAATTATCGACTCGAAAAGTTTGAATCTATAGGCGGTAGACTCAATTGAGATTTCACCTCTCTTAGCCTGCAATATCTCGTGAAACTAATCTTCATTGCTAGTGGCTTATAAGTTCACGCCTTCTTGTCTGCATTTTAGCAGTTTGATAGCAGTCGTGGGAGGCCGAATGCAAGCCTCGGACGATACCTGGACCCTCATCAGCCCCCAAGACGCCACGACTTGAAGATGACGATAAGCAAGCAGCTGCTAGACCGGTTGGACGCGGCCAGCGAGGTAGTGCGCTACGTAGAGGCTGCCAACCAACGCAGTCGTACTTCAATCTCAGGAAGCGGTGGCAGGGGAGGCGCTGGTGGCGGTAGCCGCAGACGCAGTACCCTTGCAAGTGCGGCTGACGATGACTATCCCACTTCTACCATCAAGCATCGTGGCAACCGACGGCGCATCGATCCCCGAGTCGCCATCAACCACATCTTTGAGGGCATCTACAAAGTACGTACTTCACTCAGTCCCACTTCTTCCCACGGCAGTCCTATGAGTAACTCTACCAGGCACTTTAGAAGGCTTGGGGTTTGACTTATTCATCAAGAATGAAGTTGTTTGAATCAGCATTTTTTATTTTTCTTTTCCGTGTTCGGGACAGTGGGGTGTTAATTTTGCCTCTTATATTTCAGGGTCTTTCACAGATTCCTGGCTGCAAGATTTTTATGCATCCAGTGAAGGAGAAGGATTTTCCAAATTACTACAAGCAAATTCAACATCCTATGGATCTTTCTCAAATTCGCATGAAAATAAACCAGAACGCCTATTCTACTCGAGAAGAGTTTCTCTCAGACATTCGTTTAATTCATGATAACTCGGAAAAGTTTAACGGTATGGTTACTCGGGTTTTAAAAGCTTCATGTTTTTTGTAGGTCAAATATTTTTAAATCCCGTCTTTTAAATTATGCGGTTTACCTTCTGAAAATTAAAATTACTGCGGTTTCTATGGTTTAATTTGTTTTGCTAAGTAGTGGCAGATATTTACGATTCTCGAACTGAACTGTTGATGTATTTCATCATTCGATGAGTGTCGCCGCTACAGCTTGAGTGAATTGTTTTCATTTTACTATTATTGCAGGCCGTTTTTCATCATTAACGGAAACCGCGATGAAGATGTGCTCCTTCGTAGCGGAGGAGTTTTGTCAGAAAGAAATGAAGCTTATGCGGTTGGAGCCGCTGGTAAACCCGCTGTTGGACGAAAACGACCTTGTTCGACTGGGATTTTTGCTCCAGAAGGCTGTAAATGCTATGCGTGGTGTTGAAAACAGTCGTGCCTTTCACTTCCCCGTTGAGAAGCGTCGCTATCCTGTGGGTTTTGCTATTGCACATTCTGTCTACAATTCATTTTGCTTCTATCCCTCACAAAAATTGTCTGCACCTGGCATTATCTCTCGTTCCACCTACTTTGGGGGCCGATTTGTGTACCATTTCAAAATGCGATACTTGTTTTTGAAATATCTGTCTAAGTATGCTTTGTAAACCCTAGTTTCTCAGACAAGTCCCATCATACATTATTCTCGACATTTTTCTAAAGGACTACTACAAGGCAATTGCACAGCCTATGGACCTATCGACGTTGGAGAAATTAATAAAGGATAATCGTTATCACAGTCGTGAAGAGTTCTTTAATGACGCAGATCTTATCCTCTCCAACTGTCGTCAGTACAATGGTGACGAGAGTGTGCTCACGAGGATCGCTCGGAAGATGCTCGATGTCGCCCACTCCACCCTTGATGAGATGGCGGAGACCATAGAGACAATCGAGGAGAACATTCGACAGTGAGTCCAAGTGCTACTTTTTTCCTGGATACATAGGAGAGTTATATTTGTTAATTTAAGTGGGCTTGGTAGTGTGGGAGTACAGGCTATGACGCGCGCAAAATTATCGGCTTGTGCTTTTTAATAATTAGAGGTAAATGTGATCACACTCTCTCCCTAAAGACGGTTGGATGACATTTCGACTGCGGACTCCCAATCTCAACATGGGGGAACAGCCTCCATTGATTTGACTGGGCCCTCGACTTCAAAAGCGATTAAGCGATTCCTCAAACAATCATGCGATCCCGAGATTTCCTCCAAAAATCCTTTGTATTCGGTGCCCGAAGATGGCACTGACTCTACTAATGGGGTCAAGAGGCGAAAGGTGGCCGATGATGGGGGTAAGCTTGCTGTGTCATTGAATTAAGGAGAAATTCTTGTAATAATACCCATGGTTGCTATTTTGCTACAGAAAATTCCTCCAGGGGTAGTCTCCGGTCATTTTCTGCGCAGGAGGACGAGGAAGAAGGGGAGTTCCACTATGAAACTGAGACTGAAAGTCGATTTTTCCCAACTTTGCAAAATGCAGACTCCGAGAATAACGACCTTCAAAGGCCATCCACCACCCCAGCGGTGCCCAATGTCTATGTTGATGAGGATAGCAGGGTAAGTCGATGTTTATTTGCATTAATAGGACGTAATTTATGTTCTAAACTGTAGTGCTTTATTAGTACCGAAAAGACAGGGTGAGTAGAATAAACTCATTTGGTTACTACAGCTTATGCATCACTGCAAAAATCTCAACTTAATGGCTACATAAGTGGGCGAAATATAGGCCTTTTTCATCCTGTGTGTATTTAAATTGACTTAACATTAGCTTTCTATGAAATCGATTTATTAATGAAAGGTATGTGATAGATACAGTTGCACTTTAAGGATTAGTTGGCACTTACGAGATCTCACTTTCGCTCTCCACTGACTTCACCTTTGGGTCTGCAGTCGGCGTCCATCTCTTTTCCAGTTCTTAATGGATGAACGGAGTTCCATAGTGGCTGCACAGGACACACTAGTAGCCCAAGACCTGCAGTTGACAAGCTCTGAGTCTAGTGGAGACCTCTCAGAACGCGAGGGCGGAGAGTTAATGGACGACTCCGTAGTCGGTACCGCTGCTGCGGCTCTTTCACGACCGCCTTCGCGCTACTCGGTATGCGCTATGGTTGCGTTCTCCTTACATTTTGCTTTTTACTCAAATGAAGTAAGTAAAAACGCTTTTTGAACAGCCTGACTTGGCTTCTGACCACGCGAATGACTGCTTCGACTCGCGATCTGAAGGCACTCCCGTCGTAGACGTCAACGATGGCAGTGACAGCAACGCTGGTGACAGACCAGTTAAGCGTCAGCGGGTTGAATTTTTCATTGGAAGTGATGAAGAAGATTGGGACTCTGGAGAGTAGAATAAGTTTGTAAAAAAATACCGTTTTCATTATCTTGTACATAGCATTTCGGGTTTTTCTGGCCCCTTTCTCCTTTTATTTGAAAATAATATTCCGCGACGACGCATATTGTTAGATGCAGCTAAAGTTCTGAATGGGAAAAAACGGGGTTTACTTTTCGGAGGAGCACGTTAGTATTGCTCTTTTACATCAACAAGTGTAGCATTGGGAAGGTTGTCGTATTTACTTGTTCTAGCAAAAATATGACCTCTGATGGTTTATTTGCTTGGGCGTGGTTCCTGTTTCTCTCGAAGCGGAGTTTTTTTTCTTTCTTAGATATGTGCATATTGACGCGTGAAGGCTACATTTAAATCTGATTTCGGTTTTATAACTTCATTCATGGTGAAGGTGACGCATTTTTGTTGTTTAAATTTTGAAGAATGGGTCGCGTTTAATAATCGTTTTGAAAACCAAATAAATGAATGAATGCAAATGAATTATTTAACCAACTGGTGATCATAAGGGTGTGTGAGACTGACCCCTTATACCCGTTGCTTGTCATACAGTGCCAACTTAATCAAGATTGAAAGTTCCGGCTTGTGGTTTGCAATGCTTGCTGGGAAATATTGGGCAAAGGTTTTGTTTTCTGTGCTATCATTGCGTAAACTCACTAAGACAATTCATCTATCTGCCTAGATGACTTGTTACAGGGACGATCCAACTTTCGTATAAAATGCGGTGGACATTCTAACTGAGTCCCGTGCATTTACTAATCGTATTTGACAGGAAATTTTCCTCTGGAAGACACGACTTTTATTTTCATGGATTACAAAGGTAGACTTGCTTCATTTTATTTCAGTGAGTAGATGTTTAGGAAGAAGTTTTCTGTCTCATTCATTGTTGATTCTCATTTATGAAAATATCAGTTTAATTAAAGTGGTGAAGAAGAAGACTAACGGTCTTAGGCACCGCCCCAATTTGGCGTGTCGGTTTTTTTGTAAAAGTGCGTTGTATGAAGGGGAGGGTTTGATGCGTGATATACCAGCTGAAGTAAAGCGGCGGCATAAAGTTGTCAAGGTCGTTTGCCAGTGTCTTTCCTTTCTGACCTTCACCGACAGACACTAGAATACATTTTTTTGCTTGACTGAATGATTAATCCACCACCTCCTGTTGCCGGTGTATTTGCCCTACTAATACCGTCAACCCCACACTAGCGACTGCTGGGGTGTTTTCTACTGGTTCACGATATTGGGTGACCTTGGGCTTGCCTACCGGTGTTTTGTCCAAAAGGTGGAGTGGTTTGGGCTCACGACTGCACGCGTCCGCCATGTCACAAGAACGAAATGTGTTGTTCCTTTTTCATTTAAAACGATGACCAAGGGTGGCTTCTTCCCCCTCAGCTCTTGGGCAAATGTGGTAGAGTGAAGCAGTGCTAGGGTAACACTGCCCTCGCCTTAAGGTAGCTGGTTTTAATGGGAAGTTTCGGTGAATTTGAGATTAAGTTGTCCCTTAAAGGAGGGTGATTTTACAAAAAAGCTAGCAATTTATAAATTGATCATATTTGTTCTGTCAACCCCTGAGAAGCAATTCAGCATTCTTAACCTGTGTGGCATCAACCGGGCTATATGCGCTTACTAGAATGTGTGTCGGTGGCAGACTGCAACATGCTATTACGTTCCTCGGACTAATTAAGTACCCTAAGTCTATTTATTGTAGCCTTATCAAGAAGGATTTCCTAAGACGGCTGGTTTTCACATTGGTTCCCATTAGAAAAGTTATTTTTGGGGAACGGTGGCAAGTCAAATGCTCCAAGTTAAGATCACGGGACATCTTCGTGCTTGCGCCGCTCTATTTTTAGTCCATAGCAAATCTTTGTGAAAATAAGTTTTCGGAAGTGAGTCGTATTTTTGATATGGATTTCTACTTTCAAAAGGTCCTTAAGACGCAGAATATATTGTTAAATTTCATCATACTTTTTCCGTTTTCCCTTGCTTGTCTTGGAATCAATCAAAGGCTTTTACCGGAAACTATGAATGAAAAACTGATAACAAAATGGTTCCCTTGACTCACTCTGATGCTCCTTGCTTTCTGCCCCTGAAATTATCAAGTATTTTTTGCCCTGGATCCTGATCGAGTTGCCCTACCGCTCCTTTAATTTTGGATTTTTCGTACCAAACGCGAGAAACATGAGCTGACCTCCTCTTAGGATTCCGATCCCCACGTCCAGAACTTGCAATATAATCGGTCACTTACCCTTACGTCATACTGGATTTCCATCAACTATTTGACGCATTTGAATGTACAAGGCTTGAGCATGAACTGATTGAGGAAGGTACCAGTTTTGTAAAATAGCTTTTAGGAGTTGTTTATAATGAATGTTGTCTTGATATGAACTCAAGCAAATTTAGCGCCCTCAGATTTCTCTGATGGCAAAAGAGGGCATACTACTTGAGTAGAATATATCTGTTCGACATACAGAAGGGGTTGGGGCTGCTGAAATGGCCTGAAAGCCAGCCCGCCCTTCGCCGATACATTGGCGGAGACACGGAGTAGCCCTTTTCCATAACTAGTTAACTAAGCAGCCAAAGTATTACAAATGGTCTTATGGTACACCCAATCTTTATTTGTGTATCTAGGCAAAGAAAAGCAATAAACAAAGACCTTTCCTGCTTTAGGATGTTCCACCGCCCCAAATCATGAGTTATCGGATATTTTGCTGCACGTAATGTATAATATTCCACCACGTAGTAGTTTTATTCCGAGTGTGCGTAAATTTAACTTTTATTGGAGTTCGGACATTCGAATTGGTCGCCAATAAGATGTTCACTACTATAAATTAGTGCATTTAACTGCGTTGGCTCGAATGTCTGTACTTGGGGCTGTAACATCTACTGCGCCCCGTCACATCCATTCGCGTGGCTGTTGTCACGAGCGTGGATACGAGTAGTGGTGAAGTGGTGGCTAGCATGGAATTTCAGACAACAATTTACAATAAATTAGGGAATATGTTCTTGCCAAACGAATAACAAAAGTGGAATGCATATATTCTAGTGACCAGAAAATCGTATCATTACCGAATAGTAATAATGCAAGTTGTCACGACCCATATTTGTAATTTCTTCATACGAAAATACACCTCGACTACTTTTATTTGACGAAGGTTATGATGATATCGAATGGGGAGTTAGGACTCTGGAAAGCATTGAAATGCTCTCATCAGCATTTGTTAAGCTAATAATAGTCCTTTAATTAAGTCCACCCTAAATTTTGCCTTTGAAATTTCATCTAATTGAATTTTGATGTCTCCGATGCGAGATTTTGTATTTAGTTTGCAGAATATTCACAAGAGGGCGCGAAGCCTGAATTCACCGCTAATGACGCCTCGCCAAGTTCCCAGGTGGGAAGTAGCGATGGTGCGTTTTCAAGTCTGCCGCATTCAGAGGTCAAGTGGGACTTTTCTCACAGTGTCTAAGGCGGATGGAGGGGAGCGCCCTGAGGAGGTGAAGTTGCCTGCCGCCGCCCACAGATATGCCACCGAAGGTGGGATCTGTGACTCAAAGGTCAGCGTCCATCAATTTGGTTGGTGTGGCTGCACACGAGCATATGATGCAATACAATTTTCTGAACAGCCTAAAATCCTTTTCGACACGATTGCTCACCTAGACCGGTTGAAAGTGAGGCTACAACCATCTATCAAGATTCGCACCACAGTAAAAACCTGAACTAAAAAGGTAGACTGTGAGACCCAGCACAGTAGGGATTGGCAGTTTGGACACAGGAAGTTTATCTTTGGTGGAGGTTTTGGCCACATCACGTCTACGGTCAAATCGTGCTTGTGCAACAAGTGGACTTCATCAATGATGGAGGCCTTCAACTCCAATGAACTCTCATCGGGTAACGGCACTAATGTTATCTTAAAATGACTTACCTTTCTACGCATATTTCAAAGCACCAAGCAGCGAGGGTCTTGCGACTGAAACTCAGTGCTTTTTGATGGCTTCACAGTCCAACGGCATGTTTGCGTTGATAATGATCCTTTTTGCAAAGGCCAAATGTAGAAATGACTCATTTATATGATTGTCTCAATGGAGTATGCCTAACAATTAGTCATTTTACCGTAGCTTTCTGCGCGGAACATCGAATCCCAGTGCAAAAAAGTTCGTTTGCTTACTGCCCAGTGCTTCAGGCCAATGTTTCGTGTCCCATCGGCCACTTGCTCAAACTGCTTTTTGGAGAATCCATAAGACTTCTGTTAAAATTTGGCGATCCCTGTATCAAAATGCCTCAGAAACAACCTCATTTGAATAACGAATGTTGGTGATTACCCGAAGTATACGCGTTGTTCGATCTCTTTGCCATTTAAACATTAGAAATTAAGTGGATGTAACTAGTAAAAGTACAATGTGCCGTTTAATTGGAACGTTTAGTTAACCCAAATTAGCACTATGGAACAACGTTGGTAACATTGAAAGAGCAATGCACTAATAAAACAAGTTTACACAGCTATTTGTATTCAAGGCCTGGAGTTATAGCACAAAGAGCCAAAAATGTATCAGGTGACCAAAGAGTTGGTACGGTTTATTGGTATAACTCGTTACAATCAGTTGCTGTTGCCGTTGCTGCTTGTGAAGGGGGAACCCGTGCAACACAAGAGATCGTTTATATAAATGCACTGCCTTTCATTTGCGGTCTGTACTACTTCCCACCTACCTCGAATCCGCACATCATGCAATCACGATTCAACACAGTGGATGCCACTTGAACTCATCCGCTCCACCAATCGAGTTGAATTCGCTGTTGAGGCTGCAGACACTCCTCGTCGATGTTGCCCCACAGTGCCTGATTCGGGTGATACAAATCTCCCAAACACGTATCACCTTCGGATGAATCCGCTATTCCCGACGACGACGACGTCGGCGATGATGGTGATGGTGGTGGCGATGCGGATGATGAATGACATGCCACTGTTAATTGGGATACTTGGAACTCAACATGTCAAGTGCATGTTGAACACGAGTGATGAAACAGTTCGTGTGCACCTGCATCAATAGGCCAAGTGAAGTGGTGGAAGCCACCAAACAGGCAGGTGTCACTTTCATGCGCTGACAGGCGACACTAGATCTTGAGGACTGTCTAGTTGTTCCTCACTCCTTCCTCACTTGTTATCGCAACACACCGTGCATTCTGGCTTGTTTACTGGATGCATGGATGGATGGATGACTGCCTGACTAGTAGACTGCGTCCTGACTGACTTGTGTGCACAAATGGCCTTTGCCGCTTGTAATCCAACCCTCGTCAAACCACTGAATGGGTCATCCTCACACGATTCACTCACTACGCACGTGAGTGAGGTGGCACGTACCACTCCATCCGCAGAAGGCTGCGCTCGGTTTGCGAGAGTGTGGTGGACTGCGCACAGACTCATCGTTCACTTGTTGAAGGCCAAATAGTTACGAGGCAAAGCAACACCTCGCAGCACATCCTGCAAGACTTAGCCGAGAGATTCGCACTTTGTGGTTGGAGGGAGGCGCTGTCGTGTCCGCAGCCTTCGTGCACCTCTCTCTTCGGACACCTCTCTCCACAATCGCATGATCATCACATGCGAACTAGAGTGAACGGTTGGAAGGCAGAAATGCAATGGCAGAAGGGGAGGTGGGGAGGGCTAGCTTTAGTCTCTTAAGGTAAGACGAAGTTCAATAAAAGGGAAATGTGCAGGTCTGTGTTTGGTTGGGGGAGGAGTGCAGAATGTGCGGGTGATCGTCCCTCAAATTGGGTTTTCTTTGAAGTTTACTGCT